GTGACATGGTTACAGAGGTGTACTTTTTCCTACTTTCCAATGATTGAAGGAAGTTCTCCAAAAGCTACCTCGATCTTTTCCCCTTACTGGTCCCAGAGTTAAAAAATTAGGCATTTATGGTAACTATGTAAATTATTCCAAAATTTTGCTTTAAAATATTCTAAGACAAGCATGTCAAACTCGCAGCCCATGGGCTGCATGTGGCCCACAAGGAATATTTTTGCAGCCCAGCCAATAAAACGATATGCAAGAAACATTTTAATAAAAATTTCATAACTTAATTTTTATAATATCCTGTTACACGTAATTATTAATAACAAAACACAATGTTTGCTAATGACTGATTACTATAATCGTGTTGCATTCATTTCCCTTACGCACCTTACGCGCAGGCGCACCATTTCTCTCCACTAAATACTAGCAGTGAATATTTTAGCAGCCGATAGCCACGTCATGAACTTCGTACTGACTTGTTTGGTATTCGCAACAGGAAATATTTCGCTTTTGGAGAACAAGAAATAGGTTTATTTGCATTACACTTATTAATTTGTGCAGTTATCCAGTGTCTGGTAAGTTAATGTTCAAGAAAAAATATTAATTTTTATTAAAATGTTCTATTATTTTGTTAACGATTACTCATTTATTTCAGCCCTCTGTATTCAGCATGTCTCTATCAAAATAAACCTGTTTCTATGAAAATTGAAGATTTTGGTTTTTTAGGGCCCACATAAACTTAAACCTTATTTGGCCTGTGCTAGCCTTTGAGTTTGACATGCTTGTTCTAAGACAAAACAATACTATTAACGTTTTCTTTTAATTAATCCTTACCCAAGGATATGTTTTTCATTGATTCTAGAGCAAGAGGAAGGGAGGGAGAAAGAAAAATGTTGATGTGAGAAACATCGATAGGTTGTCTCCCACATGTGCCCTGGGGACCAAACCCAGAATCTGGGTACGTACCCTTACCAGGAAACGAACCTGCGATCCTCCCATGCACGTCAACACTGCAACCACTGGGCAATACCAGCCAGGGCAATACTATTACATTTTTTAATACCACAAGATTGTTTGGAATTACTAGTTATCAGCTAGTGAAGCTGAGATTTACATTTACACCTGAATCCAAAGCTTTTTCCACCATGTCAAGTGTTTAAAAATCGGTACCCTAAATCTTAGCTCTATGGACCCCTTTACAAAAGTCTGATTCAAATTGTGTGCTAAAATGCTCTTAAAAAGTTATAAAAACAATACACTTAGACACATGCACAACTGCAAAACACTAGAGAGCACTTATGGTCTACTTACACTGCCAAGTGACCTTATTTTTGTGTGGAGCTTTTCCTGCCCTATACCTGTGTTTGATATTCTTTAGGGCAGAACATATTCACTCATATAAAATAGAGTAGTACCAAAACATTGGCTTAGCACATTTATTATAAAAGCAAGTGCAGATAAGGTGCATATACTCAGCAGTACTCTAAAACCCATACAGTAACAAATGAGGGGGTCATGCTGTCTTATAGAGGCCTATTTTGAGTATTTCTTTTGGGGTGGGGTCAACTCTATGGGTAATATAAAATACACATTTATCTGTTTTATACATTGGTATCCCACATTTTTTCACTGGAGAAAAATTTGCTGCTAAACCACAGCATATTAATGTTACTTGGGAATAAAAGATTCTTGGGAATTAAGCTCTGATCAATTTTTAAAAATCTGTTTTTGAAGAATGCAAAGGAAGTTCTTTTGCATATTGGTATGTGAAAATCTTTTACAAACTTACAATGGTCTGTCGGGTATAGTTAGAATTTATACCAGGGAGTCAACTGGCTCCTTGGGCAATAAGACATTAATATTTAAGTCCCGCCAAAACCGGTTTGGCTCAATGGATAGAGCGTCGGCCTGCGGACTGAAGGGTCCCAGGTTCGATTCCGGTCAAGGGCATGTACCTGGGTTGCGGGCACGTCCCCAGTAGGGAGTGCAGGAGGCAGCTGATCGATGTTTCTCTCTCATCGATGTTTCTAACTCTCTTTCTCTCTCCCTTCCTCTCTGTAAAAAATCAATAAAATATATTTTTTTTTAAAAAAAATATTTAAGTCCCATTGAAGAGCAAGTGGTTTAGTAACAGTAGGCCCTAACTAGATGTGGGGGTGAGGATGGCGTATTAGAGGGGAAAAAAAACACACCAAGGAACACATTTCCCAAGGATAACCAAGTATTTTAAGCCTAAAATATAGACTCATAGGTGATTATGCAATTTCATGCAAATATACCATCATACTGACACCGTGGGAAAAGTCCTCGATTAAGAACTGGCAATAAACAATAACCAACACTAAATTGGGTTAAGAGCTCTATTCTGTATGAGGCTTGGAATGTTGAACAGTTAATAATCTATAAATCTTAGCTTTCTCACATATAAAATGAAGACAGACTTTATCCAATCTGTTTTAAGGATCAAATAAGGTAGACTACTGAAATGGACTTGTATCCAAACAAATCTTCAAGAAAAATTGAGTGTAAGGAAGGGAAAGTAAATCTTTCTTTTCTATTCCCATTCTCTCAGTTCTACAAAGTACAGACCCACAAGGACAAAATACAAACCCTACTACCCTGGGTTACTCAGGGCAGAATCTACTTATATTGTTCATTTATTCAAAATATTCCCCCTTCTTTCTCTTCAGCCTTTAAAAATGAAAATGTAGTAAATTTTTGTGACCTAGATGTTTACTAAAATGTAAGCAGTAAAAATCTTGGATAACTTAGCTCAAAAAACTTTACACCTAATAAACTTTAGAAAACTTTCAATAAAATTATAATAAGATAGAATTATTTATGTGACCTGATTATAGAATCTTAAACTTCTGACTCCTGTTTTTATTTTGAATTCATTACTTTGTAATCCGGTCACTTTGTAGGCATGGGACAGCAATATGACACTCTCCATACCACTTGCCTAAGAAAAAGACCACTCTGTTTAAATAGCACTCAAAAAACCTTTCCAAAATGTAAGTCAAGAAATTTAGTTATATATAGAATAAAATAGGAAAATAAATATTTCATTCTATACCCAATCCTCTCGACAGCAGCTCTCGTATGCACATTATCTCTGTTGAACATGCACATTCAAGGTACACAAAGACCACACACATACAACTTGGAACATCACAGAAAAGATTGCTTATCAGCCAGCTTTCATCTTTGCAACCAACGATTTTCACAAGCAAGATATGACTAATGGATAGTTAATTAACATGAGATTTGCTCTGTATTCTGCTTATATGAAAAAGTGAAGGACAACCCACAAGGCTATTATATCCTATGAGAAATACATGATCCTAGTTTGAAGAAAATTTGGCTCTCTGGATATTTTCTTCCTACAAGACTCAATGAGTGTTGACACTGAGAATCATGACTATTTCAAATCAGCCAGGATTAAATCTTGAAGCAAGATAATACAGCCTAATGGATTGATGAATATCTACTTTGCTTTTTTATATGAATACTCTCCTAGAAAGTTCTATAGCTGCTTTTCATTTGGTTTTGAAGTACTGGCATGTGGAATTATTTTTTTTATGGAGGACAGACAACAACTGTAAAAATCTATCATTCTGTGAGCATTGCACAGGGAAAGTACTGGGAAGTAAAAAAGAAGAGAGTCTAATTCTCGTATTGATTTAAACACAGGCTTATTATAAATCCTCTACCAAAGCTCCCCACTGAAAGTGCCTCTTACCTACTTATATGTGTTAGTAGATTGGGGTTGAACAAATCTAGGTTGGAAAATGATCTAATATTTTACATCTCAATGGAATATTATCTTTATCTGTATCTCAAGCCGATGCTTGCAGCTAAAAAAAAGCACAGGTTTATTTTAGAAGCCACCAAATGTTTATGCAAATGAAACATTGTGCTACAAAGCTACTACCTTGAAACATAGTTAGCATTATTTTTTACCCACTTATCATAAAAAACTAGTTCTCAGATTCTGCATACAGACAGCTTTATGTAAAATATATAAACATTTGTCCAAATTGGTACACAGATTGCATAAACAAGGCAATTAAGACTGCATTTACAGATGTGCATGTACAATGTTATGCAAATTGTCACAATATTACAATTTCAAAAATTATTCAAATTGGAATCAAAGTAAAGCAATTAGTGAAAAAATATCCATGCAGAATTTAAATGTCTCAGAACAAAATTTAAAATGTCTCAGTAAAAGTTCACACATTTAAAATAGTTTTATTCATTTTATTTGTATATGTCAAAATACATTTTTATTTCCAAAATAGTGGGTTTTGCAACTAGTTTCATGCAGAAACAAGGTCTGCTCAATACTACCAATAAAATCAATATAGCACAGTAGCTGTTCAGTTTTAGATACAAAGAATAAATAACCTAAATACAAAACACTAAAATATTAGAAACATGTATTTAATCATTCTTCACAGGCATCCAAACTTCACAAATATAGTCCTTAGCATGCCTAACTGTTGTGCAACCAGAACATGTTGCAGTCACTCAAACTGATCAATTATCTGGATATTTTACGTCCATATAAGACCATGGAAATTCTCTATATTCAGATCCACCATTCATACAGTTCAAATATAACCAAAAATAAAATTCCCACAACTATCCTTGTACCTTTAAAAATCAAGAATCCTGAGCTTGGTAGTAAGAGCATAACCTTCTATCTTCATAAAACCAATCGAGAGAGAGGACATGAAATCCTGCTTACCAAAACACCTTTTCCCAACCCCAAAGTAATCTAAAATAGGCAGTAGAACACAATGACCTTTTAAAATGAAGGGGTACAAATTCACATTTGATATAGTATACAATACAATCAATATTACAATTAGCTACTATAAGCTTTACAATGTACAATTTATTCAAATGGCTGAACTGTTCAGTGGTTAAGGAGACAGTTATGTGCCCGAAAGATGTAATATTTTTTGCATGGTTTAATGAAAATATAAAAGCTATTTGTCCAAATAAAAGCCATCTCCATTATGTACTTGGTTTTACTTTTTTTTTTTTTTTTAAAGGCCACTGAAATGTATAAAATGGTCTGAACATCATGGTGGTATAGAAGTCAATGCCTCTTCACATGGCAATAACAGTGCATTTAACATTAATTCACGGTTAAGTCTGCAAATGATTTCATAGCATTACTTTGGCTAGCACAACAGTTTTAGACAGCACTCAGATAAATATCAGTATGTGAAATGTGAAGCAATTATCTTATGCAACTTTAATTATGGTTGAATACTATCAAAAACTGAAAATAAGAGTAAAAGCACTTTACAGTAGAAAACTTTTATAAAGATAGGGCTCCACATAATGTGTTACTTTTAAAGTCTTTATATCACATTGTTAGCAAATTCAGTTTTTAACACTATGATGGAGTAGCCTACTTTGCATTAACAGACATTTGAAATAAGAAATAGTCAAGCATGCCATGGTGTTCTAAAAATCAAAACAATACACTTATTTATATATACAGCATCACTCAGTACCTGCTAAAATGAATGTGAAGATTATAGAATCTAACATCTTGTACTACAATAATAAAAAACAAACAAAAACAAAAAAGTGACCAATGAAGGCAGAAAACAGGACTTAAAAGAACCTAACCTCAACTGACTTTAAAGCATTCATATAAGAAATAAATGCAATATTGCACAAATAGTGAAAGCAAATGTTCCACCAAGCAGTTCAGTTCCAGGTGGGACACAACACAGCATCCGCCTAATACATGAGCCTAATACATGACAATGACCTCAGAAGAGCAAGTGTTCTTTTCTGTAAGTGAAAAAGCCGTGAAAACATAGAAAAGTCTGCCACATGAAGCATTACAAGGAAAAACATACAAACCCAAACTTAAATGTAAAGCAAAAAAAATTTAAATATCGAAAAACTGGAAACGGTGGCACATCAAAAATGTTGAATAACTGTCTTCTGTGAGAGCTGCAAGTTTTTGTTGACACAAAAGTATTTATGTACAACTAAGGCTTACTGGTTAAATATCTGAGGCATATCTGGCCTTGAACACTTTCCTTATATGCTGGAGCTGTAAACAAGTTTTCTCAGTCTTTAAAAAAAATCTTCTCAGCAGCTGCATTAACATGAAACAATGGTCTTGATACAAGAGAAAACAAAACAAAAAACAAACCCAGAAAATTTAAACAAAACTCCAAGATAAGAGGGCATTTGGCAGGATATCCAGAAATGACAGTCTCCAAAGACTCTTTCCAGGTTTCCAGTGACTGTCAATTATGGTCCACTGGGTTACTAATATGTGCAATTCCATTATTTGCTGCTTTTTATTTTATTTGGAAAGTTTGCTTATAACTCTGATCAAGGCCCCATTTTCGTCCTTTAGCCTCTGGTTGTCTGCTTTTAGGTCTGGTAACATCTATAAGGGGAAAAATGAAGAAAAAGTTTTTCCTCAGTAAAAATATAAAATATTATTCTTAATAAATGTTATATTTTCACCACAAGACACATGAACAAGCTTTGTCAGTTATATATTTTCCTAGTGGCTAAAACATATAGCAGGACGTAAAAAAATCCAACCCCCAACTTGTGAAGCTCATTAGTTGAATAAATGATGGAATGAACAGCTTATTCTCCCAAAGTTATCAGTTAAAATGTACTAAGTCACTTGATATTATGACCCACAAGCACACCATATTAGAACAGCCAGGAAAAAGGAAGCCTGTTTTTGTTAGGCTAAAATGGAGCTGAAAGGGAGCTCCTTTTAAGAGTTCCTATCAGTATTAAACCAAGGCTTTTTGCTCAATTTACTTCAGAGCTCAAACCATAACACTTAGATGTTTCACAAAAAAAATCATCATATTTGGGAAAGATTTGAGGGAGTTAGACTTGTTCTAAATTTTTAAAATTCTTTAAAGGATTCGTATATGGTACTAAGTTTAAGTACCTAGTACAATGTCCGAAACTAGGTGCTCATTAAATGACAACAAAGCAATTATTACTATTATGAGATAGAATAAAATTACATATAAGCAAAAGTAGTAAGCCTGTATTTATAAAAATGTTCAAGAATAGAAAAATAACCAGTTATTTGGAGCAAACAGAGAAACACACCCTCACATTCTCAAAATAAAGCAAATCCATTTTCTTTTTGCAGACAAACTGAACGAGAGGGTGAAAATATTGTAAAATGACATGGATTTTCCACCAAGTAGAATGATTTAAATTACATGTGCTCTGCTAGATTTGCTAGGAAATGAAACAGCTTATATTTTGGACATTAAAGCATACTTTTAAAGATATTTAGCAAAATATAAGCAAAATCTATATGAAAAGTTAAATTTTATGTGGACCCAACCAATTCTTACCTGTGTTTGAAATGTATGGATATAAAATACAGTAATCTGAAGTGTATGTATGAAGTTTATGTATTAAGAGAACTAAGTGAATATTAAGATGGCCCTTACTGAAAGTGACATTTTGGAAAACAGATGATGCATGCTTAATCTTCATCTTCAACATATATGCGTACAACACGTTACATTATGTTCCATTTTCTTTCTAGTTAAGAATTTAATATTCGTAGAGCCAAAATGTGTACAAGCTTTGTGAAAGTGCAGACAAGTCTTTTACTTAAATTCCAAAATCATTCTCTAAGTTTACTGTAGTTTAAATATAGAATTAGTGACACTTTCTAACATTCTGAGAAGCCATGCATAATTAAGGTTATATGATAAGCTCCAGACAAAATGGCATTAATTTGTAAAAGTGAACTCAAGACACGCTTACTAATACAAAAACACCTGCCTGGCTCTACCAAGAAGAAATGATGAAACTATAAATTATAGGTTCACAGACTGCAGTTTCCTACACAACCCTGAGCGCTTGGCTACCACTCGTGTCAAGGCCCTATTCTCAGTCAACAGTCGTTCATTTAACTCTCTCAGAGTTTGAATTTGCTTTATTTGATGCAGGTTCTGCAGGAATCAGAACATAAAGAAATAAAAATAAAAAATAAGAAAATGGAGAAGAATACAATAAAAACATAAAGAATCACAGACAATGAATATAAGAAAAAATTAATTCTTAAAAAATATTCCATGAGCTCTACAAAGATATACAGTGTAGTCCTAAAATTCCATATCAAACAAAATACATAAGCAAATAAAATCCAAAAAATTTGTCTACAAAGGCACTCAATAATAATGTTCTATGAAGTAATCAAATAATTTAATACTAAAACACTTAAATCTTGAAATTCTAGTTCTATGGGCCCAACTTCCTATTCATTAGTTTCTAATTCATAGTGTGAAAGAGATATTTTATGCGAGACAATGTGATAAGAGTTAATGAATTAACTATGCTGTTTTTTCTGTTTCTGCAAAGAGTGTTCCTCCCAACATACAAAACAAATAGTTATTTCCATAGGAAATGCAGAACTTGATAAAATATAGCTCTGCTTGTCTACTATTTTAATATCCTTTATTTTCAAAGGAGAATATTTTTATATTGAAACGTCTCCACCATTTATTCTCCAAGAAACAGAGCATGTGAATGCGAAGAACAAATAATGAATCCCAAATCTTAGTCATTATTGTCTAATATGTTCTGTACTGAACATCAAAAGTTCCACAAAAATTCATTAACGAAAAGATATATGTGTTAAGTACTTTTCTAGTCCACCTACGATCTGGATTTAGGAAGAAAGAGAAGCTTGGATATAGATAAAATCACAAATTGCATAAACAGCCTTGAGAACAATTACTGTGAACATAACACCTATAACAGTACTGTAAAATTTGAGTTCCTAAACAGCACTATGTCTCATAAGTAGCATGGTTTATACTTACTTTGAGCTCTTCTTCCATTTCAGATATTCTTCTTTCTAGAGCTCTTCGTTCCTAGGTCAATTTAAAAGAACAATATTAAGTATATAATAATTATATTCTTATGTTCTCTTCTAAATTGTGAAATAGTGCCACTTGAGAATCAAAAATCAAATCAGGAGCAGTGTAGAAAAAGGTGTGATGCCAGTGATGTGTAAAGAGCTTTCCAATATTTGAGAAAGAAAGATGAAAGTCATTATTTGCATTACTTTCTATAAGCTCTTTCTTTAAAGCTTTGACTTTCTGGTAAGATGCTACATAACATCTTCAAACTATTTTAGCTCACGTAAAATGCAAGGATAGAGTAAACCAATACTGAAGACTTAGGATTGTATAGGAAAAAAACAAAAACAAAAAACTCACACAAAGATGCAATTATTCTATAGTGTTAGAAGCAGAAAAGCAAGAGCAAACGTGCCTAAAATACCCGTACTTTAAAATTTCCATAGGATTTAAGAGAAGTTCATCTCTTCCACCCAAATTATTTACTAGCCATTATTTACCCAATTGACTTCAAAGCTTATTCAGTTGATACTGTGTAGCATTAATGCAGTGAATCTAATAAGAAGCAACTGCAGCATTTTATTTTACATTACCTTATTTCAAAGAGTGACGGGCAAAGGCAACATACATTTTTGCAGTGTACTGTTTTATACTCCCTCAAATAATAAGCATTCTAGGGTGTTATGCAAAAAAGCAAGCAGCAATAATTAATGTGCTGTAAAACTTTGGTTAGGTCATACCGCCCAGAAGATACTGACTCTTGCCGGTCACCTTTCAGATACAAACCATTTAAATTACTTTAATTATACCAAAACTACTTCCAAGACATTCTTTCCCAGATTAATAATTAATGTTCATATTTAGTGAATCAGTACATTTACTGTAAATGTTAATGTTTTTAAGGGTATGTAATTTAAAAAAATAGATGAAATCTTACTAGTTTGATAAGTACCATGTTATTCTATTATCAGCATGTTATTTTCATAAACAGACCTTTCTCCTAGTTAATAATACAGCTATGACAAATTTATAAAAAACAATGAACTTCTCAAAATACTAGGACATATGTCATATTTAATTCTTATAAATTTTTGAAATACCAGAAATAGCATAACAGCATATTTTCTCCTACTGATAAGTAATTGCCCCACCACCTTCAATTTTATTAGGTGACTTCAAGATTTTAACTACTTAGTGATAAAGACAAGAACACCATACTAAATTGCCTTGTTGCCCAACTGACAACCATAAAGTTATAGGAACTTCTGATGTCTGACAAATAAACTACTAACATTAAAAATATGGTTATGAGAAAATGCATGTAAAGTGCTTACCCCAGAATCTGCACTTAAGAAAGTGCTGAAGGAGTGTTAGTAGTTATTATTAATACTATGACTGTCAATGTCTGTTAAATTGAGAATGAATTAGCTACTTTGTAACTTATCTGCATTTGACAGACAGAAGAGGTCAGGTGAGAATGTCAGAAAACAAAAATATGTATCGTGTGCCTAAGCTTAGGATAAACATAAAAATATCAGTTATCTCTCATGACAGGGTGATGGATGATTTTATTTTTTTCTTTTGCTAAATTTTTTGTAATAAGTATATATTTTTGATTAAGTTATCTGCCTTTTCATCTCAACCATAATATGGATAACAGAGGAGTGGTTTTTATTTCTACATGTTAGATATAAAATTCAATAATAGTTCTATTGTGAAAGAATATAATATTAAATTTAATAAGTGATTCAAATTTTAGCAATTAGTTATACAAATAGTTTACACACACACACACACACAAACACACACACACTTTTTTATTGACTGATTTGAGAGAGAGAGAGAAACATTGATTTGTTGTTCCACGTATTTGTGTAATCACTGGTTGACTCCTGTATGTGCCCTGACCAGGGATCAAACCTGCAACCTTAGCACAACAGGACAATGCTCTAACCAACTAAGTCACTTGGCCAGGGCACCAAAATTTTTTTAAATGGTCTAGAACAGTGGTCGGCAAACTCATTAGTCAACAGAGCCAAATATCAACAGTACAAGGATTGAAATCTCTTTTGAGAGCCAAATTTTTTAAACTTAAACTATATAGGTAGGTACACTGTTATTAACTTAATTAGTGTACTCCTAAGGCTTAGGAAGAGCCACACTCAAGGGGCCAAAGAGCCGCATGTGGCTCGCGATCCGCAGTTTGCTGACCACAGGTAGAACAGTGGTTCTCAACCTTCCTAATGCCGCGACCCTTTATTACAGTTCCTCATGTTGTGGTGACCCCCAATCATAACATTATTTTCGTTGCTACTTCATAACTGTAATTTTGCTACTGTTATGAATCGTAATGTAAATATCTGATATGCAGGATGTATTTTCATTGTTACAAATTGAACATAATTAAAGCATAGTGATTAATCACAAAAACAATATGTAATTATATATGTGTTTTCTGATGGTCTTAGACGACCCCTGTGAAAGGGTCGTTCGACCCCCAAAGGGGTCACGACCCACAGGTTGAGAACGACCGTCTACAACCTTAGTTGATGTGGCTCAGTGGCCACTAGAGCATCAGCCTGCAGACTGAAAGGTCCTGGTTTCAATTCCAGTCAAGGGCATATACCTCGGTGGCAGGCTCAATCCCCTGCTCTGGTCATCCCCTGCCCTGGTTGGGGTGTGTGCAGGAGGCAACCAATCGATGTGTCTCTCTCACATGGATGTTTCTTCTGCTCTGTCTTTCCCCCTCCCTTCCACTCTCTCTAAAAATCAATGGAAAAATATCCTTGGGCAAGGATTAACAACAACAACAACAAAATGGTCTAGAACATAATTTTTTAAAACTGCTGAAAGCATAATAAAACAAGTAGTTATTTCAAGACACAATTTAGTAAAAGGCACAGACACTAACAGACTGTTTATTTATGGACTCTGACTCTGTATTTTAGTATCATTTCTCTCTCTCTTTTTTCAGTCAGAATGGTAAATTGGCTATTTTTAAAATGGAATGAGAGAAAATGTTTTTATATCAACTGCTTCTAATTATTTATTCTTTGATCTAGAGATCATATATGCCCAGGATGTAATTTCTTCTCTGCTTGAAATCTTACAAGTCACCACTCACTTGCATTATAGATACTCTTAGAGCACTTGTCCTTTAACTTTTGATCTTTTATACATTTTCAACTGCTCAGACTAAACTTGTAGAGTTATTCCTATGACCCTGAGCAATAAAAATAATAAACAGAGAGAAATGAAAGTGAATATATTAGAGCCAGATAAAAAATTTAGAAAGACATAAAATGGCAAAAGAATTTCCTTATAATCATTTTTTTTTTGTTTAAAAGATTTTACTTAAGTAAAATACTTAAACTCAAAATGAAATAAATATTATTAACTTTTAAAAGAATTTGAAAATTTGATGCTCACTGAAGCTTTAAAAAAATTACTTCAAGAATGAAAGTATTTTAATTTTGCAAAGAATTAAACTAAATGTATGCATGATTACAATGTTTTCAGTATATTACTATAAAAATCAAAGAGATAAATGGCATCTCAAAAATATCAGATTCACTATCATAATGTGTGTTTACATTTCAGAATTAAGGCAATATATTTTTAATCAATTAAAAGAATAATATGACAAATTGTCTTATTTAATAAGACAATTTCACACCTACAGATACCCCACAGACACCCCAAAGAAGGTAAGCTAGAAAACATTCTAATTAAATTTAAGAGTATTAATTTAAACTCATTAAAACTACCATCCACAAAAACTAAAGGGAAAAGAACTACTGTTGCTTACACAAAACAATAAAATGGGAAAATGATCTATAATAATAAAAGCGTAATATGCTAATCAGTCCAACGTCCTTCCAGACGGCCTTCAGGATGAAGCAGGGGCTGCGAGGGAAGCTGGTGCTGGCAGCTGGGGGAAGGAAGGCCTACTCTTGCATGAATTTCATGCACCGGGCCTCTAGTAGTCAATAAAATGGACACTTACCCTTTTTTCCATTTCCAATAGTGACCTATCAGTGTATCTTTCTTGTCTCTGCAAGAAAAGTAAGAAATATATAAGGGATATAAGTGTAATGAAAAATAAACAGGGTGTGTGTGTCATTTCAGATGTTTATTGTTATAAATCAAATTCAGAATTTCTATCATGATGAAACTGTTTCAGCTAATCCTTATTTCTTTCTGAAATTTAAATTTATATTTTAATTGCAAGAAATTTAAAACAAAGGCTAATATATATACCAGTTCAGAACATGAAATGAATCCTAAGAATGCTTAAAAGATTGAAGAATTAAATTACATTCAAAAGCACCTGGAATAAATCAGAAATAGATGGAACAATGCCATCAAGTAGACATTAAATAAGTTTTAGATTGAAAATTAGTATTTTATTGGGGATTTTTTTCCATATAACAACATTTTAGCAATTTTATGATTCATTTACCAATTTCTTAGGTTAAAAACATCAACTTTTGTTAATATTTCTGATAAATATTCTTGATGTTATATTAAAATCAGATTTAGTAAATGTGGTGAATTGACATTTGACAAAATTTATCAAACCAGTTTCTGGCCCTGACCAGTTTGGCTCAGTGGATAGAGCATCGGCCTGTGGACTCAAGGGTCCCAGGTTGGATTCCAGTCAAGGGCATGTACCTTGGTTGCGGGCACATACCCAGTAGGGAGTGTGCAGGAGGCAGCTGATTGATGTTTCTAACTCTCTATCCCTCTCCCTTCCTCTCTGTAAAAAATCAATAAAATATATTTAAAACAACAACAACAAAAAAAAACCAGTTTCTGGTAAGTTAACCTATTTCCCTCCCTTGGAGACTATATATGGAGGAAGGTGGCTGAGCTAAGGCAGGATTCAAGGATTCTAGAGTCCATTGGCTAAATACTATCAAATACACCTAAACTTAAAGATTTTTAGTAGAATAATAGTTACCAAATCTCTAGACCTAAAACTATTTTCAGAAAACTAGTTATATTTTCATGTACAGAGGCTCATTAAGCTACTAATGTAACCTGAAGAATGATGACATTCCAGTTTACTATGAAGCTTAAGGATAAGCCAGCAAATTTTAACTTGTATAACATTCTAAGTATTTGACATGTCACTATGAAATGTGTTCACTTACTTCTCTGTGTATCTTTCCCGCCCCCCTACTTTTTAATTTTAAAAAAATATATTTTTATTGATTTTAGAGAGAAGCATCAATGATGAAAGAGAATTATTGATCAGCTGCCACCTGCACGTCCCACACTGGGGATTGAGCTCGGGCTTGTGCCCTGACAGGGAATTGAACCATGACCTCCTGGTTCATAGGTCAATGTTCAATCACTGAGCCACACCAGCTGGGCTCCCTCCCATTATTAAAATTAAATTTATTGGGCTGATATTGGTTAGTAACATTATATGAATTTCAATTCTATAATACATCAAATGTATATTGCTCACCACCCAAAATCTTGTCTCCTTCTGTCACCATGTATTTGACCCCATTTACTTCTAGTAAGCACCATACTTATCTGTGTCTAAAGTTTGTTTGCTTTGTTTGTTCTGTGTATCTTTACAGTAAAATCTCATTAATTAATAAAATCTGAAGAGCCTTCATAACCTCATAAGGTTAGCTTGGGCCCTAGAATTTTAGCACAGCTTGCATTCTGCATAGACAATTGCTTTACAACATAATAATGGCTAACAGCAACAATAAAAAGTGGTAACAAGTACAAGTTCAACACAGAAAATTAATTTTAAAAATTATGAAAAAGATGAGTGTAAAAAAAGGAGCCAAAGAAAGCATGCAGCATAATTTATTGAATTTTAATCAGTGTTTTCAAACTGGATTCTAAGAGTTGTACTGCAGAAATGTGCTTATGCTAAAAAATCCCATGTGAAATTTAAACAAGTTTGTTTTCTTAACAATGACAGGATCCCTTAGAGCCTTTGATATATAAATAGACCCTGTAAAATCTCTGAGATGTAGAATATATAGTATTTCCCAAGTTTCTTGGATCACAAAGCTTTTTTTTTTTTTTTTGAAGTGGGGGCAGGAGGAGGAGAAGGGAATATGCCTATTATTGTCTCCCAGGACTAGTGTTCCAAGAAAGAGCTTGGGAAACAATTCCTACACCCTACACATCTTAGAAAAAATGAACAAGGTTTTTAATTCTGCTTAGCTATTTTTCTTGTCTAAAATACTCTCCTCTAGGCTATTGCATAGAAGGAAGGCAAAATGAGTTATAACTACAATTATCTTCTTCCAGTATTACTATATCATATCACCATTTTTTTGAATAGGAAATATTTATAATGAATAAAAATTATTATAAAGAAATGTTATAACTTTAAGGAGATTCTGTATAGATGCTTTCAATGCCTTGCTACATTTGGTATTCTGGAAATAAGCACTTAAATCCTTCATGTACTACATAAGTATTAAAAGGCTTAAAAATATTTAGACTTTCCATTATGAGGCTATACTTCTAGATTTTCAATTCACTTTAAAAAAAGGTAGATAAAATGATCATTAAGCTGTATTATATTGTTTCTTTCTGACTAATAAATAAGCTATTATCAGTAACCAAACTTATGTTTAGAACACTAGAGAACACTGCAATGTAATCTTTTGGATAGAATAAATCACAACCATTGCCTATAGAGTAACGGAAGGAAAAAGGTTCAAACCTGGGTAGCCTTTTCCAACTGCAATTTAAGATCTGTCAGTTCCATGTTTGTATCATGTAGCTGTGCTTTCAGCTTTTCATTTTCAGCCAGAATTTGTTCATAAAGCTACAAAAATAAGGGAAGAAGAACAAATTACTTTTGTGCCCTAATAGTTTAATTACTTTTCCTATTGATTACTTCACAATATTAAAACTTGTATTGAAAGATTAAGGTAACATGAGATTTTAAAGGATACATTAAAATATATTTTAATGCTTTGTGGTTGCAATGCAGACAGTTTTGATTACACAGGTATATTTGTTCTACATAAACTCTTAGAAACTAACTCTAGTATTTAAAATAAAAGCACTAAAAAGTCAGACTTTTGAGTATCCATTAAAGAAATTCAGTTTTCTGATAAAGAGGGACAGAAACTGCACAGTAATAGCTGGAGCTCTGGAGACACTGTGATTTTTATTTGTGGTCTATGAGCTTTTCTGCCTATCATGCCCTCTTCAATTCCTGATAGTGAGAAGTATCAATTGCATTTATCATTATATTTGTATTATTTTTTCTAAAGTTAAAAGACAAGTGAAATATATCTTGAACACTCACAGAATGCCTGAATTTACTACTACTTTTTCTCTCATCTCTACTACAACCACGAAAAATGGCGATAATATTCTCTTAGCTAAACTATTCTAATGCTAGACTTACTCTCCTGACCTCCATCTAATCTGTTTTGTATGTAGCAGCAAATTAACTTTTCAAAATGACAATCTCAATTTTCATATACCAACCATTCCATTAACACCTCCATTTAATACATTAAAAACCCTCTAATGGCATCCCAATGTTCTCAGTATAAGGATATCCTTAAAATAGCCTGTAAAGCACCATATGGTTTTTGTCCCAGCCTTACACATCTAGTTGCAATCTCATACCACCATCCCTTCCATTAACTAGCCCTAATGAAAATTTAACTACTTCAATGTATCACGTACCCTTCCACCATCAGGTCTATGTGCCTGCAGTTCACTCTCTCTGGAACACTTTTTTCTCTCCCATTTTTTGCCAGTTAACTACTAATCATCTTCCTGTTCTTTTGCTCCAGTTTCACTTCCTTAGGAAATCCATTGTCAGGCACTGACACTTTCCTTTATAGATTCATTTATAAAACTGTTTCCTTACTGTATAAAACTTTATATAACTTTGTTAACACTTTATAAAACTGTTTCAGAATACTTGTTTTAAGGTATACATACATTAGTATGATTGTAATGTCTGTCTCTCCCAATACATGGAAGATACCCATACAAGCAGGGACAATATCTCCATCTACATTGCCCATGAGTGGAAGTTCACTCCTGTAACACAGTTCAGTGTTCACTTCTTTACTGAAAAAAAGAAAAGTGACTGAATCTTATTCATAATGAAAACTAACCTTTCTGGTTTGGCTTGTAAGAAAGTGGGTAATTCAAACAGCTGCCAAATACCTGGGAACATATACAAATTCTACAAGCCTTCTTTTTCCCCAACATACTTCATCAGGTTTATGCCAAGCTCATAATATGAAGAATTGTGACAATCAGAATCCTCGATTATTGACTTTCCATTTATTTCTTAATTACTTCCCCCTTAATCATTAACAGCAGTTGAGCTACCACAGTTTTTGACTTACTAGGAAAAACTATATTCTCCTAGCAGAAGTTGCATTCTTTGGCTGCTTCCTAGTAACAAATAAAGAAGTGTGTGTACATGCTTGTATACACACATGCACACCCTGCCCCAAAGCCTCTTTTCAGCTAAGTCACAGTATCAGAGTTACTGGTCTGAGACATTTAAATGTAAAATAAAGTCTTGGGCACTTTCCCCTTTCCTTTAAAAAACAAACAAATGAACAGCTATTTATATTCTACTTACCATCAATTGCTCCAAACTAAAAATTAGAGTAAGATATTGATTTCATTATGAGTTTCTAGGAATATCTCAACATATATATCTTAACAAACAGATTATTTTAAATTAAACTAAATAACCCAAGTACCTTTTTAAAGTCAGTTGAGTCATCCTTTTCTAGCCTGCTACTGTAAGATTTTCTTTCTTCTAAGTAACTGTATGATCCAGAGCGACCCAGCAAGGAATCATACCGATCACTAGCTGACGTAGAACTGGTTTCATATCTTCAAAAGATGAGTTTAAGTCAAAATCTTTATTATAGGCTTTCACAACTTACATCAACACACATCCTACTATATATTAACTTGATAGTCCAAATAGTAGATAACATTCTCCCTCATTTGTTATCTAATCAACTTTTATAATATACTAGAGGTCTGGTGCCGTGCACAGGTGGGATCCCTTGGCCTGGCTGGTTATCAGGGCCAATTGGGACCGGCCAGCTAGGGGGAGGGACCACAGGAGGCTGGCCAGCAGTGGGAGGCTGGCTGTGGAAATGCCAGGGGGCAGCTCCTGCATTGAGCGTCTGTGTCCTGGTGATCAGTGTGCATCATAGTGACTGGTCGTTTGGTCGACTGGTTGTAACAGTCACTTAGGCTTTTATATATATATATAGATAATAAATGCAAAGTTATTTTTAATACTACTAATTTCCATTTTTTGGGGAAGAGATTCAATATTTCTATATCTAAAAGTCAAACCTGGTTTCACATTATGATAAATTATATCAAAATTTTTAAATTGTACATTTTTTTCATATTTTATCATCTTTGAAATCAGAACATGGCTTACAACTGATGGCGTATTATAATTTAACTAGAGGCCTGATGCACGAAATTTGTGCAAGGGGCTCGGCCGCCGCCACCACGGTGGCTGCCTTAGCCCCCGCCTGCCGTGGCTTCGTCTGGAAGGACATCTGGTCTAATTAGCATATTATGCTTTTATTATTATAGACTAGAAGCCCGATACACAAGATTCATGCACTTGGGGGGGGGAGGGTCCCTCAGCCCGGCCTGCGTCCTCTCACAGTCTGAGAGCCCTTGGGGGATGTCTGACTGCCGGCTTAGGCCTGCTCCTCGTGGCTGCCCTTGGCCCTTGCAGCCCTGGTTTTGCCCAGAAGGTCATTTGGCTGTCTGGTCTAGTTAGCATATTACGCTTTTATTATTATAGATTGGTAGCAGTTTTCTTATTTTTAAAGTGGTATATAATTATGCTTTAAAATTATAACATTTTTTATTTGATGAATTAATAACAGTCTATTCAAAGTGATGGATAACAGATTTGTAAATAAGAATTCTCTTATCTGGTTCAGAATTCAGGGTACATTTTCTAATAATGCCTCTACATTTCAACTCAATACAATCATCAGTACATAAAACCTTATTCCTGGTATTATAAGGCTTTGGATAACAATTATGGTAAGGAAAATGGAATGGAGATTAGATTCAAGGAAGTTCTCTAAAAAGATCAATAATTTTGAGCTAGATGACATTTTTTTAGTGTTTGCATGGCTTTCTTTTACTTAAAAGCAAATATGAGAGAAGATTCTGAATACCTAATGAAATAAATTTCTGGTGGGTTTCATCAGACTCTGTTGTTAATAATAACATAGTCATTATTGAGGTAACTTAGGAAGCTTAGGAAAACTTAAAAGTTATCATTGTTGTAAAGATAAGAAAAATCGTAACTTACTGGGACTAAGAATTAGAAGTAAAGACTTTGACAAAGACAGTTACTAGGTCATCTAAATTATGGATAGATTTTTACTACTCAAAATATTTTATCAACTTATAAAATCCATAAATATCTAGCCACATAGTTTTTAGAGAGAATGAAAAGGAGAAGGTAGTAAAACATACCTAGAAATGGAATCCGTCTAGAAAAAAAAGAGAAAAACAGAGATACTAAATTTTATGCTTCATTAAAGTAACTTGTTGATTAATCAAGTAAATTTAACAATAAAATAAATACCGTTTTCACACTATTAAACTAACATCTAATTACTATATCTGTTTTAACTTTAACATGGTTGTCCTTAGAAATAAGTTCAACAACACAGTCACTGTTTATTTTTACATGCACAATATTATATAATTACATTGGGCAATTTATGGTCAATTTTTTTGTGAATTCCTACAAATTCCACCATATATTATTTTTTTAAATAGAAAAAAAATAGACCAAGACACATATCCATTACTATACCCACTCAGCAGAAAAAAAATAACATACTTTCATTAAAAAATGTCAAGTTTACTATGTGCTAATTCAAACAACTACTTTTCTCATTTTTCTATTTTTGAGGCAATGACATGAGAAACAAACAAATGAATACCTAAGGTATTTTATATATAACAGTATATATATATTTCATTTAAAATTTACTTTCTTGAAAACCCAGCTATATGTCCTTTAAAGTTTAGAAATTAGAGGTAGAAAATTATATAATTATTTAAAAAATTTCCAAACAAGTGGTATGCTACACTGAAGTTCCAATAACTCTTCTTATCTAAGTTGTGTAATAATAAATAGTACAAAAATAATCTTACTGAGTTTGGCCGGTGTGGCTTAGTGGTTGTGGGCTGGATCCACAGTAGGGGCCATGCAGGAGGAAGCCAATCAACGATTCTCACTCATCATTGATGTTTCTATCTCCCTCTCCCTCTCCCTTCCTCTCAAAAATCAACAAAAATATTTGTATTTTCCTATTACATTTATCTTCAACTGCACCATAACATTATTGGTTCCTTTGGGACTGTTTGAAGTCTAATTCACAGACTAAGAATGTCTTACTAAGTTGTATTTAATTTTTTTTGCAAAATCAATTTTTCATTTGTTTCCTATTTTCTTTTCTTTTTTAAAAAATATTTTTTATTGATTTCAGAGAGGAAGGGAGAGAAAGAGAGAGATAGAAACATCAATGATGAGAGAATAATTGATAGGCTGCCTCCTGCATGCCCTCTACTGGAATCAAACCTGGGACCCTTCAGTCCGGCTAGGGTACTTGTTTCCCATTTTCTGATGTAAAGCTTTTTTTTATTAATTTATTCTTTAGTTACATAACAATTTTTTTTAAAAATATATTTTATTGATTTTTTACAGAGAGGAAAAGAGAGGGATAGAGAGTTAGAAACATCAATGAGAGAGAAACATCGATCAGCTGCCTCCTGCACACCTCCCACTGGCGATGTGCCCACAACCAAGGTACATGCCCTTGACCGGAATTGAACCTGGGACCTTTCAGTCGCAGGCCGATGCTCTATCCACTAAGCCAAATCGGTTACGGCAACAATTTTTAAGTTAAAATTTAATTTTAAAAATATTCAAATTTATAAGTTACTAAGAGTGTAAGTATAGCATGAAAGTTCCCACCACAAAAAATTATTTTTGTACCTTTGTGTGGTGATGGATGTTAACTAGACTTAATGTGGTGATTTCTCAATATATACAAACATTGACTTATCGTTCTGTACACCTGAAACTAATATGTTACATAGCAATTATATCTCAATAAAAAAGGTGCAGAAATAAAAAAAAAGATATTCAAATTCAGGAGAATATTTACACATAAAATGTGTACATATCAAACAAAAACATCACATCTCACCTCACAGTTTGCACTCTGATTCACTGATTTAAACTTAAAAAATAAAAACTCTATGCAGTTACTGAATTCACTCATATTCTATTTCTTTTCTTTAAAAAATCATGGTGTTGTCATTGTTTTAAAAATATATATATTTAAATTGTGGTAAAAAACATAACTTTTACTATCTAAATTAGTTTTAAGAGTATAGTTCAGTGGTTAACTATATACACAATGTTGTGCAACAGATCTCTAGAACTTTTTTATCTAGCAAAACTGAAGCTCTAGGCCAGGGGTGGGCAAACTTTTTGACTCGAGGGCCACAATGGGTTCTTAAACTGGACTGGAGGGCCGGAACAAAAGCATGGATGGAGTGTTTGTGTGAACTAATATAAATTCAAAGTAAACATCATTACATAAAAGGGTACGGTCTTTTTTTTTTTTTAGTTTTATTCATTTCAAACGGGCCGAATTCGGCCCGTGGGCCGTAGTTTGCCCATGGCTGCTCTAGACCTACTGAATAACTCAATATATCTTCCTATCCCTAACCCCTGGCCACCACAGTTCCACTTTATGTTTCTATGAGTTTGACTACTTTAGATACCTAATATAAGGGGAATCAAACAGTATGTCTTTTTTTGTGACCAGCTTATTTCACTTTATGATGTCCTTGCTCTTTGTGCTCCAAAATCCTTTTCCAAGTAAGAATACCCTTTTAATTTTTCTGATTACAGTGCCATAAGCTCATACAAAAGCACTGCAATATAAAAAATTTCTCTAGCTGCTCTGTCTGTGGAATAGCCTACTCTCTGATTCACTTCTTCACTAATAAACCCTTTCACTTTAAATTCTAAAAAAATAACAAGTTTCTCTATTAATTCCCCATCCCTCAAATCCCTTAGTTAACTTTTATATACATATCCATGTGAACACATAAAATATCTATCTATGCAAATACATTTTATTTAATCTATTCACTACCAACAGACGTTTAGGAGTGTTTTCAATATTTTGCTTAAAGAGCCACATTGTTATGAACACCACTGTAGATTTATCTTTACACTAGAGGCCCAGCGCCCTCGGCCTGGCCTATGGGACTGGGCTGAAACTGAATCTCCAATATCCCCCGAGGGGTCCCGGATTGCAAGAGGGCGCAGGCCAGGCTGAAGGAACCCACTGGTGCACGATCAGAGCCAGGGAGGGACCACAGGAGGGCTCCAGGGCATGTCGGCTGGATCAGCCAGACCCCAGCAGCAAGCTAACCTACCGATCGGAGCATCTGCCCCCTGGTGGTCAGTGCATGTCATAGCAAGTGGTTGAGTGGACTTAGCATATCATTAGCATATTACGCCTTGATTGGTTGGACGGCTGACCAGATGACTGGATACTTAGCATATTAGGCTTTTATTATATAGGATAATTCAGTTACTTCTAGATTTCTAGAACTGAATTGCTAAATTTAAAGGCATAAACTTTTATGCAAGGTTTCTGTATTGTATTGCTAAACTAATCCCCCAAAAGGATACATTTATTACAATCCTAAAATCTTCTATGAAATGCCTATTTCAAAACTATGCCAAATCTGATCATTATCAACCTCTGCAATTTTATTTTATATTATGTCTTTGATTATTAATGAAATTAAGTACATTTTCAAGCTGCTGGCCATTTGTATTCATTCTTTTGTAAATTGATACATTTTAAGTATTATGCCCCAATTATTTTTTCACTGTACAAATTTATACAGTACAAATACTAATATACAGTACAAATACTAATCTTTTAAATGTTAGAAAAAAAGGCTAAGATTCTTTTCTTCTACCTGAACAAAAAACATGTCTCTGTGTTTTAAACATGTCTTATTAAGGGCTTCTTTTCTGACATATTATAGTTTTACATGTTTAAATAATCAAATTGAAAAAGAAATTAAATCTCTTAATCTTTTTTTATGGTTTCTTGCTTAGTGTCACATTTAAATTCGTAATTACTACTGTCACTTATATGGTAAAAGTATTACCATACAACAGCTTAATGAGAGCAAATCATAATAACCCATGTAACAAAAGCCCCAGTTTTGAAGTAATAATAGTATTATGATAAAGTAATTCAAATTCTCTGTGATAAAATTTATTAATTTTCTTTAAAGATATATCCTGAAGGCCGGCAGCTTGAGCTTCACATGCAATTCAGAATTTTCAAGATTGTTGAAAAGTCCTTTAGAGATACTAAATTTCTAAACAAATATGAAGAAAATTAAAAAGGGCTATGGCCTTTTCCAGAACATAACTGCATTTTAAAAAACTAAAATCTGGGTCTGGTAATTTATGAATATTCTTTAGATACTTCTCTTTGCTGAAGGGTACTATTCTATTTTTGTTTTTCTTTTCAACTTTGAAGACTTATTTACATGCAAGAAACTACATCTACCTTAGAGTATACAGTTTGATGAGCTTTGACAGTTGTGTATATCCATAAATTCAGTACAATCAAGATTCAGAACATTTTCACTGCCTCTAAAATATTCTTTGCGCACCTTTCCAGTCCTTCCACCCCAGATACCAGCAAACCACTGGTAAGTCTATCCCTAGCATGAAGGTACAGTGTGGAGCAACTGTCTTTCATGGATAAATATAAACACAAAAAGTAATACCTGGAAAATAATACATACTTCAAAATCCAAAAAATAAAGGTTTTACCTGAGTTTCTTTCTTATTGGATCCCTCTTCTGTATCTGATTGTTGCTCTTGTTCATTTTCATCGCTCTAAAATAGATAGTCAATTTCAAACAGTTGATATTTACATACTTTAGGGCTTTTCTGGTTTAAAATGGCCCTTGCGAAAGATCTACCAGGGAAATAAATCAAAAAGTACACTGACTTTTACATGGACACTTTTTCTACCCTATTTTTCTGGCCTATTTGTCAGCATGGCATCATCCAAGTAGTTTAGCATACATGGTGAAGAAAGGCAATCTACCTAACAACTTCATAATAGGAATGAGGAAGCCAGAGGCCTAGCATGAGGAAGGAGATAGTCCATTTTATATTTTAACTAGAGACCATGGCAACTCAGCACTGACTGCAGGACTGACTTCCAGTCGCTCCAGCCTTTGGTCGTTTTGGATGTTACAGACCCTGGGTTTTTATATATTAGGATAGTACTGCATGTACTTCAATCATCAATATAAGTACTATTTAGTCATTCTATATGTACTATATTCAATCATCAATATAAGTACTATTTAGTCATTCTATATAACTATAACGAGGCAACAAAAATAGTTAAGTCATGATCTTAAGCAAGAAAAGCTGCATTCTATAAGCCCAGCAAGATTTATTCAACAGTGTTAATATGTTTAGGTCGTTTATCTATCTGGAAATTCGTTTGGAGTTTATAATACACCAAACAGAAAATCAGTTTCAGCATATTAAAAACCTAGAATCCCAGAATATAGGAATATCCTATTAGAAGGTCTTGAACATCTCAACAAACCTTAAAGGGTTGAAAGAAAAGGGAAATTTGCATTCAAACATATCTGTCTTAGGCTCACCATAAAAATATCACAGGCTTTACAATTAGATCACTCAAGAGTCACATTGGTATAGCTATTTTTAGCTATGTGACTTAGGGCAAACTTATTTTAATTTCTCTGAGCTGCAGTTACCTTACACATAAAAGTAAGGAAATAAACTTTATAGAATTGCTGTGAGGATTAGTGAGAATCTGTACAAGCTATCATTTTGGTAACTAGTAAAAAATTATATGTGAACACCAGGTTGGGAACAGGCGAAATCAATGCTGCTGCTGCTATTATTACTAATTAATATATAAATATTTTAATTCCATATCATGGACTAATTGTCTTTATACATTGCAGCTTCATGGGAAAACACAGGAACTGAAAATTAAAACAGGGGGAAAGCTTCGAGGTCCTGAAAAGTAGTAGCTAAAAAAAAAGGAACCTACTAATACAATAGAGCAAAAAGCTGCCCAAGTGCACACTACCCTTTCTTTTTGTATGTTGTATGATAGAGGTGTGGCTATGAAGGGGAAAGGAGGGCTCTGCTTTGCTGGCTGATTAGAACACAATTCAATGCAGGCTCAAATTAAAAAGACAAGTGTTGCCAATATGGATTTCAGGAAGGACCCTTATAATGCCAGAAACTGGAGTTGTAAGGAGGGCTGGTCTGAATAACAGTGGGGGAAAATAAATACTATACTGTAACTAATACAGCTTTGCCTATTAAACAACTAACATGTAGTTTCTTAGTTATTCAGAAGAAAAAAGAATTTTACACAGTAAGTTACTCTGTCAGGGTGCTAAACTGTGGGATTTTATTTTACTGTTATTAAAATGTTACCAGGCAGTCAATTAAAATCAACCATACATTATGTACTTCCTGATGGAGGCTAAAAATACCTTGCCAGCCCTGGCTGGTGTGTCTAGATAGTTAGAGCGTAGGCCTGTGCACCAAAGGGGTTTAGGGTTCGATTCCTGATCAAGAGCAAGTACCTGGGTTGCAGGTTCGATCACCACACGCCGTTGGGGTGTGTGCAGATGTCAAAGTTTCTCTCTCCCTCCCTTCCACTCTCTCTAAAAACCCAAATGGAAAAAAATATCCTCAGGTGAGGATAAACAAACAGAAAAACCTTGCCAAAGGAATACTGAATCAGAATCTGATCAATTCTCTACCAGTTGATGGGAAATAGGAAAAACTACACTTCAAGAATATGAGAATCCAGTTCATTACAAAGCAATTGTAAGGGGGAAAAAAAGGGAGAAACTTACTGATTAAAAGAAACATTAAAGAGATAATCATCATGTATGGTCCTAGTTGAGTCCTAATCAAATCAGCAAAGTATAAAACTACAACAACAAACCATTTATAGCATATATGAATTAAATTTATATTAAAACTGACTGAATATTCAATGTTAAAGATTTAGTGTTTATTTAACAATAAGTCTAATCTGGTATTGTGCTCATTATGTCATAATATTGTGGTTACTATTTTTAATTATTTTTATCCCTTAAAAATATATACTAACATTTTTACAGATAAAGTGATATGTCTAAGATTTTCTCAAAATAATATGGGAGTTGGAGAAGTGGTGAGGAATTAGCTTAAATAATGGATAGTTGGGGTGGGATCATTATACTTTTGCATTATTTTTGTATGGCTTAATTTTTCTATATTAAAAAATTAAATGAGTCTGGCCAGTGTGGCTCAGTGGTTGAGTGCTGAACCATGAACCAGGAGATCACGGGTTCCGATTGCCTGTCAGGGCACATAGCCAGGTTTCGGGCTCCATCCCCAGCAAGGGGCATACAGGAGGCAGCCAATCAATGATTCTCTCTCATCATTGATATTTCTATCCCTTTCTCTCTCCCCCTTACTCTCTCTCAAATTAATAAAAACATGCATTTTTTTAAAAATTGAAAGAAAAAAGGGAAAAAGCAAAGTAAAAAATCAAACAAACAAAAAATAAGATAAAACAAATTATATTTGTCCTACTACAGTTGTACACTGTATTGAAATAGTATAAATTTCTCCTTAACTGAGCTAATTCATAGTTCTTTTTTCTCCTGCATATGAACAGCAATGCCAGGCATACAATTAGGAATCAGGAAAGAAATGAAATTCTATAGGATCATTATAATTTGGTAAGTAAAGCACTGCTTCTAACCAGCATCATTGGATGGAAATAACAGTTATGTATTTATCTTATAATCATGTTCATAAAATGGGATTAAATGTAAAGCATCTTTCAAGAACCTCTAAGATGAGAGCAGTTTAGTCATTATACAATAATCAATATACGTATGCTGAGCTGCAGCTATTATTACAAAAGAGCTCCTGCTTTTAACACACAAAAAATCTTAGTAGTTATTAACTACCCTTTATAAATTTTCCTATTTCATAACTTGGCTTAACAACACATAGTGATGATCTAAAGCAGCGGTTCTCAACCTGTAGGTCGCGACCCCTTTGGCAGTTGAACGACCCCTTTCACAGGGGTCACCTAAGACCATCCTGCATATCAGATATTTACATTATGATTCATAACAGTAGCAACATTACAGTTACGAAGTAGCAACGAAAATAATTTTATGGTTGAGTCACAACATGAGGAACTGTATTTAAAGGGCCAGAAGGTTGAGAACCACTGATAGCAACTGGTTGACTGTCTTCCCCCTGGTGGTTAGTGCACGTCATAGCAAGTGGTTGAGTGGCCATAGCATATCATTAGCATATTACACTTTGCTTAGTTGAACGGCCGAACTTTTATGTACGTTTATGAACTTCTATTTCATAACTTGGCTCAACAACACATAGTGATGATCTAAACAGTATATAAACTGAGGCATGTAAGATATTACTAATTATTAGTATGCACTTTGGAAAAGAAGCATACTAGTCTGGCCAGGTAGCTCAATTGGTTAGAGCGTTGTCTTGATATGCCAAGGTTGTGGGTTCACCTATAATCAGGACACATACAAGAATGAACCAGTGAATACATAAATAAGTGGAACAACAAATCAAAGTTTCTCTCTCTCCCTACCTCCTCCCTAAAATAATTTAAATAGGATTTGAAAAAAGAACAAGAAGAAGAAGGAGGAGAAGGAGAAGGAGAAGAAGGAGAAGGAGAAGAAGGAGAAGGAGAAGAAGGAGAAGCATACTATCAGGAAATTATATTTTAATAGGTTCTCACATCTTGTGTCCAAAATGAAACTCCAGTAGATCTTCTTTTCTCTCTTGGTCGCCGTCGCTCCCTGATTGACTTAGGCTGTGATTTATCTTCTCCTTCTTTCTCCTCTTCTCTCTTTTCTCCTTCTGTTAAGGATTACAATGCACCACATGGTAGCAATATATCTTGACAGTATTTTACAAGGCAAATGTAAAAACAATTCCAAGTCAACCTCCTTTGTGAAGCCTTCTAAAATTCTCTAATCATTATCAAATTTTTCCCCTTCCTATAACACTTGGTGTAAATATATATGTGTATTTCTCATCAGATACATTCATCAGGATCAAGACAAGAACTAATTTTAATTACTTAATTTTCCTAGTGCCTAAACAAGTTTTGCTCCAAAGATATACTTAGTAATATTTGCTGATCAGAAAATAATTAAATCCTAAGAAGATTCAATTGGGGCTCTTTTGGAAGGAAGATGGTTATTATACCCAAAGTTAACACTTCAAGAAAACAAACAAACAAACAAACAAACAAACAAACAAACAGTTCTTAATGATAGAATAGCTAGTAGGCATCATAAAACTTTATCAGTTTCTGCTTCTACTATTCCCAGTCCTCATTCAGCAGAATGCAGTATTCATTTCATTTCTATTAGACAGCATCTAAGAGAAAATCAATTTTTCTGGAAAAAATATTTATCTTTCTTTAAATCAATGTAAAAAAATATTAGTCTTAAAATTTGTTTCCTTCCTGGGACAGCTAAAATGGCTTCAGACATACATGCTTAGGGAATACTAGGGCCTTTGAATATGCTTTAAGAAGTACACATATATGGAACAAAAAAAAATGATTTTTAAAAGGCTCCTTGTATCATTAACAAAGAGTCACAGCAAAGGACAACCCAAAATTATAGTATTAAGAGGAGTTTTAAAAATTATTTTTGGAATCAGTTTAGAGCAAAGATCTTAAATTCCAATGCCTGCAGTGGCAATCCAGGTAATGAAAATGTACAAAGGGGCCAGGAGGGCACTTTTCCAGGGGGGTGGAGGGCTGCTATTATTTGGCTCAAGTCAATTGATGACATGTGAAAATTCAGACCGAGTGATGCCAAATCTTTTAAATATTCAATAGACAATGGAAAGCTGAACTATTATGCAAATATACATAAGTTTAAATGTTGGCTCAAAATTTTTATAGCTGAAACCGGTTTGGCTCAGTGGATAGAGCGTCGGCCTGCGGACTCAAGGGTCCCGGGTTCGATTCCGGTCAAGGGCATGTACCTGGGTTGCGGGAACATCCCCAGTGGGAGATGTGCAGGAGGCAGCTGATCGATGTTTCTCTCTCATCGATGTTTCTAACTCTCTATCTCTCTCCCTTCCTCTCTGCAAAAAATCAATAAAACATATTTAAAAAAGAAAATTTTATAAACATTACTAGAGGCCTGGTGCACAAAATTCATGCACTCAGGGGTGGGGGAGTGTCCCTCAGCCTGGCCTGCGCCCTCTCGCAGTCTGGGAGCCCTCGGGAGATGTCCGATTGACGGCTTAGGCCCGCTCCCCATGTGACATCCTTAGCGTTGCCATGGAAGTGGGAGAGGCTCCCACCACTGCCACTGCACTCGCCAGCTTTGAGCCTGGCTCAGTGGCACTCCCCCTGTGGAAGCACACTGACCACTGGAGGGCAGCTCCTGTGTTGACCGTCTGCCCCCTGGTGGTCAGTGCACGTCATAGGGCCGGTCACGCTGCCATTTGGTCAATTTGCATATTAGCCTTTTATTATATAGGATGTGCACCTCTCAACTTAGTGGATCAAAAAACTAAAATATCTCAATGACCAACAAAAAAGCAGCTGGAAATTAGGAAAAACTTAATTTTCTGAAGTCTATATCTTACATAATTACTGCTATAATCTCATGGCTGAAACTATGAAATTTTGCTTTTAAAACATAAAATGCCTATAATTAGAAATAATCTTATTTAGTACCCATCTCTGATTTAAAGTAGAAATTAATTAGAATTTAAATAGAAAGCTTATATGTAATAATAAGAAATGTTAATATTGAGCATCAGGATGCCAATATAGCTGAAAAAATCTATTTCTCGAGAAATAAACATAAAAACTATTTTGTTTTAGCAGGGACATTATATGTGTTAAGTGATTTTAGTTTAAATCAATTTCACAAAATCATGTAAGAGACATGATACACATAACAGGCAATAAATAAATACAAGCACTCATAGACTCATAAACAATTCTTCTATACTGACTTTTCTACACTGGTAGATACAAAGATTTTTGTGGCATCTTAGGTTATAAAGATGTGTATCAATGCCAGTTCACATAATTTTCTTTTGACTTTATACTATTCTCACTCCCAACCATCTTATCAGGCTCCCAGTTTGGAATGTTGTTTCTTTTCTGTTGAAATATTAATTAGAAAAACCAATTCAAATGATTTGAAGGAAACAAAGTTTTTTCAAAATTTGGTTTTCTTACCTCTTTCATTTTCTTTTGTTAATCCTCGTGAGTAAGCAGAAGTTATACCTACAAGGCTATTTGGCCTACTTAGTTGACTTGAAGCATAGAGTGAACTGCTCATGGTAGAAAGTGAAGAGGATGGAGTGGTTGAACTTGAAGTTGATACTGATCTGTAACGCTGATAAGTCTGTAAAATATTAGATTTAAAATCCATTTAAAATATTAAACACACTTAAAAACATAGAACACTTAAATTTATTTCAATGAAAAAGTAATGTTCTACTCATGTCAAAATAATTCGGATATCTATTAAAACCCTTTTGAGTATTTTGTATATGGTTTGCTGGCATACAAATCTCCCTTGGATTTTGAAAATCACAGAAATTATTCCTACCATTTTACCTAGCTGTGACATTGGTATACTATTTACCTCATCATATGTTCTGGAGTACTTTTGCTTATAGTCATCTTCTCGAGAGGTTTCTGACTCCTTTTTTTCTTCTTGCTTCTCTTTATCTTGTTTTTCTTTTTCCTCTTTTTCTTTTTCTTCATTTTCTTGTTCTCTGGTTCGAATAGAACGACTTCTTCCTATTGTTTTTTCAGCTTCCTGAAGATCAGTCAATGTCACCCCCTGTACATAAAAATGATAAACTTAATTATGAGGCGTTAAAGCTCACTTTGAAGGAATACTATAATAAAGAAAATGTGAATTAAAAGTCAAATATGCATGTTTGAAATTGGTTTGCAAAATGAAACAATTTCTACTTAGCAATTAACATTCATTCTATGAACAATCATCAGAAACAAGCATAATAAAAGAGGTAAAAAATAAAATGTGTAAGAAATTGTCTCTATATCCAACTAATTAACAAAATAGCATGGATGACAAAAATACCATTATGAATATAAATACTCCCAAAATGTCAGCAAATGAAGAAAAAGCCAAAAAATCAGTTTATATATCAAACTTATATGTATTTATGGTTTTATATATGTATATACCCACAGAGATTTCAGTAAAAAAATAATTTTGAAGGTTAAGCCTTGAAGAACAGGAAGTTGATACTGATCTGTAACTGATCTGTAAAGGTCAGATTTTAAGAAGTAAAAGTATAAAGACAAAAAAATATGTTAATATTCTAGCTTGACATGTGAGTAATGGTAACGCTGAAATAGCTGACCCAGGACTTTGGTGCTCAACTGGGGGAAAAGAAAGACACAAAGGGATATATGGAATATAATTACAGTGGCAAGGAGGAGGTAATGAGATGATAACCAGTCTGAGTGTCATTTTTCTCATACTTGCACAGCAATTATTTAATATACCAAATAGACCCATTTCCCCAAACTCCAAATATTCTTGGAATTCTTTAGTAATTATTATAAATCACATATGATTAATTCATTTTAACACAGATATTCTGTGCCAGATATCACAATAGAAATAAAAAATACTCAAAGAGATATAAGGCATATGCTAATTAGATAAAATACAATATTAACAGTGTAATCATATAAAAAAATACTATGAGAGGGGTACTAAAACAACTTTTAAAAATATTTTTACTGATTTTTAGAAAGAGAGGGAGAGATGGAAACATCGATGTGAGGGTGAACCATCAATCAGCTGCCTCCCGCATACCTCTAGGGATAGAGCCCAAGACCTAGGCATGTGCCCTGACCAGGAACCAAACTGGCAACCTTTTGGTGCAAGGGATGATGCCCCACCAACTGAGCCACACTGGCTAGAGCTAAAGCAACTTTTATCTTTAAAGATTTACTCACATTATATAATGACATCAATATATTTATAGCACAGTAAAAAAGGAAAAGGTAACTTATTTTAAAGTTTCATATATTACAAACATTAAATATACCTGTGTTGACCTTCTAGACTGTCTTGCTTGTCTAGATCTTGCTTTTCTTTGGGATTCAGACTCTTCATCTCTAACAGGAGTGAGGTATGATCTACAGTAATATATAATAATCGTTAGTTGGAGATACAATAACTGTGAATGCTGTTACATATGAATGTGTGAGTGAAACATACAAGTTTAGCATTTTTAATATATTTTAAGAAAACTAGTCTTCAGAAAATGGTTACATCCACTCTGAAATTCAACAATGCAATCTGATAATCTTTTAGATTACATAGAACTAATCATATTTACATATCATATTTTTCAAATTCTTCCTAACTATAGATTTTAAAAGAACAACTATCTCCTTAGCCCCTTTTTGATTCCCTACAACACTTCCTAAGGTCATATCTCAAGTTACTGGCTAAACTCTAGACCGTCTATGCCTATATGGTACAATGGGTAGGACTGAATGCAACCCTCAGGATACAGGATGACTAGTGAGTAAGCAGCACTCCCTGTACTCATGTCCTTACACATTTATTAATGTTTTTGGCAGATCTATACTCTTGTTCACAATAAAAGTACTCTAAAAATTCAAGTGGTTTTATACATGAACTTCTTTAAAATCAGCATTTCTCTTGGGTAATTGATTTTCTGATATAAAGAACTTAGCATTTATTTTCACTAAATCTCATCTTAAAAATCTAAGCCTATGTTCCATTCTGTCTTAGGACATGCATAATTTCAAAAGCATGCAATCTATGCTGTGAAATAATTAAAGAGTTAAACAAATATAAGTCAGAGTCTTGCTAAACAACAATAAAAAAACTTCGCTCTAATGACTAGTATTACTTTAGTTTTCTTTTTGTATTGCAGGGCTCTGTCTCATAATTTTCATTCTGTCTATACATCAACTCCCTAGAGTTCTAAGTTTTTAAAAATTAATTAATTAATCTTCACCCAAGGATATTCTTATGGATCCTAGAGTGAGGGGACAGGAAGAGAAATGGGTGGAGAGTGAGAGTGAGAGTGATGGACATAGCGGGAGACAGAGAGAGAGAGAGAGAGAAGAAAGAGAGGGAAACATTGATGTGACAGAGAACATTGAACCTGCAACCCTTCAGTATATAGGACAACACCCCAACCAACTGAGCCACGCAGGCCAGGTCTAGAGTTTTAGGTTTTTAGATATGAAAGATACTTCCTATTTTTATAACAATATTAGAGGCCCAGTACACAAAATTCGTGCATGGTTAGGGTCCCTAAGCCTGGCCAGCAATCAGGGCAGATCAGGGTCTTCTGGCTGCCAGCCAGGGACTTCCTTCATTCTGCACCACCCCCTGGTGGTCAGCACATGTCATAGCAAGCGATCGAACTCTCAAGAGAACACCTTGCCTATTAGCCTTTTATATGTATAGATGACGAAAAGCTTGTTTGTTGACATTAGTGTTTTAATTTAGAAAATGTTATACATTCTAACATGTCTCCAGGAAGATCACACCATATTGAATGGTTTGAGAAGTACTGAGAGAAGAAACTGGTTTGTGTTTAACTCAGCATTTAAGTAGGGAATACTGCCTCCCCCGCCTTTCTGGTGGTACAACTATTTTTTTTAAAATATATTTTATTGATTTTTTTTTTACAGGGAGGAAGGGAGGGGGATAGAGAGTTAGAAACATCGATGAGAGAGAAGCATCGATCAGCTGCCTCCTGCACACCCCCTACTGGGGATGTGCCCGCAACCAAGGTACATGCCCTTGACCAGAATCGAACCTGGGACCCTTTAGTCTACAAGCCGATGCTCTATCCACTGAGCCAAACCGGTTAGGGCGATGGTGGTACAACTATTAAATGTGAAAAAGTGCTCCATAAGACAACAGCTTGGAAATATAGTCCAATGAGTATCTCTGCCTCCATTCATTTAAAACTTCTTTATGCACCAACTAACCCTATTCAATTTATTGCTTTTTGTACTTCTACCAAATGAGGAGAAAAAAAGTAACAAAAGGAGGTGAAACCTAAATGTGATGGGAAATCCGGTTAAGCAAAAATTTACAGCAGCTCATATGGCTGCATACCACTTTAGCATTTCATGAGCTCCTATAAAAGTAAACATGAACACAACACACTGAATTCTAACTACTATTATTTACATGGTCAAAGTTTTCATATTTAATTTTAAATAGGGTAATACGCATTGCCACTTTGCCCTTTTAACCCCATGACAAATCACTAACCAACCATCACTCTCTTCTAAGTAGCCAAGATTCTTTTTAAACAATTTCAAGTGACCATGAAAGTTAATAAATCTATTTATCATATCCAGTTTATTATATTCAGGTTAGAGGGATGAAAGTTAATAGACTTGTAAAATCTGTTCATTTAAATTTCCCATACAACATTTCCCCAAATTAGCATAAAAATCTGGCCTATCAATTTCTAATACATATATTTGCTATATTTGATAGTCTCCATATGATATTCAGTTCCTTTCTCCAACCTTGGAGTGCCTCTACTCTAAGAATAAGATGTAGAGAAGAAAAATAGTTCATATATTTTGTTTTTTTATTCCAAAGAGCTGATCATTGCTGGAAGCCGGTCCATCCTTGCTGCTTGACACAGTCGCTGCAGGATAGAAACATCTGCACAGCATATGTTTCAAGGGACCTGGCGTATATAGCATACTGTTCTTAATATGTTTGCTCCCCTTAGCGCTGTGTGTTTTAACCAAGGTCACCTCTCCGAGAAAGGTTGTTTCCCCAGGTAGGAATTTTTCCCTGAAGTCAGGGAGGGGATGAAACTCCTTAACTAAGTGCCAGGCGGGCAGTTAATCACTACAAACAATCATGCTTAAGCTACATAATCTTTACTCCCTGGAATGGAGATAAGAAACGCCCTAACCTTTGTAATAGAAATTGACAGGATTAAAATCAACTGGGATAAATACGGATGTAACAAGACAATAAACAGAACTTCGCTGGAGATCCAGACCAGAACTTGGCTGGAGATCCTGGCTAGAGATCCTGGCTAGGCTGCTGATCAACTGAACGCTGTCTCTGTGTCATTCCTTCTTCGCCGACTCCATCCACACCTTTGGGGACCCCTGGACCTGCTGGGGTTGGACCCCGGCAGATCATCAAGAAGACAGCAGAATACAGCGAACTCCATTGAAGCCTTAATTATTATCCTAGATAATAAAAGGCTAGTATGCAAATTGACTGAATGGTGGAATGACCAGTCGCTATGATGTGCACTGACCACCAGGGGGCAGATGCTCACTGCAGGAGCTGCCCCCTGGTCATCAGTGCACTCCCCCAGGGGGAGTGCTGCTCAGCCAGAAGCTGGGCTCGGGCTCACTGCTGGCAAGCACAGTGGCGGTGGCAGGAGCCTGTCTCGCCTCCACGGCAGTGCTAAGGACTCCCGGGGAAGAGCAGGCCTAAGCTGGCAGTCAGACATCCCCCGACGGGTCCCGGACTGCGAGAAGGCACAGGCTGGGCTGATGTTGTGCACTGGGCTTCTAGTGATACCATACTGTCAGACTGTATCTCTCTCTTTTTTTTAATCCTACCAGAGGATGTGTTTTTTTAATTGATTTTAGAGAGAGAGGAAGGGAAGGAGAGAGAGAAAAAATTGATGTTAGAGAGAAACATCAATCAGTTGCCTCTACTACGAGCTCCAACTGGAGATTGAACTCGCAGCCTAGGTATGTGCCCTGACCAGGAACTGAACCCACAGCCTTTTGGTTCACTGGACAATGTTCCAACCAACTGAACCACCTGGCCAGGGCAGACTGGCTCTTTTATATAACAACATAGGATATATAAGTTTATTACTTAGTAGTCTTACACTGCTTACAATTTTCTGAGCAATGGAAAGGTTGTTATTTTTAAAGTAAAACTTTTCTTTTCCAATAAATGCAATTATTCCATATATATTTTTTAATTCACTGGCATTTACTGTCTGAAAAACATATTTATTTATAATGTTTACATTTTGGCTAGTCAAACAAATTACATCTTTAAAAATCTGAATACCAACCCTTGCTTCATACTTAGCTTTTTTCCTTCCAGAGGGAATATAAATGGGCAAAGGGAGCTGCCTGAGCAAAAGGGAAATGGTGGAAGAGAGCGGTTATATTGAAGCAACAGTTCAATGTGAATCTGTGCTGCAAATACAAAGTTATTAGTAAGATACTGCTTTTTTTTTTTAAATCCTCACCTGAGGATATGTTTCTATGGATTTTTAGAGAGAGAGGCAGAGAGAGAAACAGAGAGAGTGAGAACCATCAATCAGTTGCCTCCTGTACGCTCCCTGGGGATCGAACCTGCAACCTGGGTATGTGCCCTGACTAGGAATCAAACCCACAACCGTTTGGTGTACAGGACGACCCACTGAACCACACTGGTCAGGGCAGTAAGGACTATCTTACAGTTTGAAAAGACTATGAAAAATTAGAAATACTTAAACAATAGAAGAATTTGCTACCATGCTCCATTTATCTAAAGCTAGCTTCTCTACTCCACCTTCCCAAAACTAATCCTTTGGAAATCTTAACTAATAAAAACAGGACTCCTCACCCAATCAGATCAATAAAAACAGGGAAATTCTAAAATACGCTGGAATTCAATAGTGTTCATAGTAACTTTCCATAATATCCCAACGTACATATGTAATAGTACCTAAAGTAGCATAAATGTGTTGATTTGTTTTCAGCCACCTATATTCTTAAATCATCATATATACATTTTGGGGGAAAAATTTTTAACCATCTACATTTCAAAAAAATTAATGAAATTTAATTAAAAGACGAACAGAAGAGGCCAACAATGTATTCAAATTGCAAACAAATACTTGACATGAAACAAAACACAAACATCAATATTACTGCAAACATCATTGAAACAAGGTAAGACAAATTTTCTGTAAGAGACTAGGAAAAATGTCATTAGGCACATTTTGTTTCTAATGCTATTAGAATCTGCTCTGTCCTTACAATTATCTCCAAATATTTAATTCCCAATCTTTAATGTCTTCTAGGATTAATCCTAAAAAGTTGAAACTCAACTTTCTATAACAACATAAAAAAATGTGAGATTAAGAATTATAATTTGTTCTTAAACAACATATGATTCTAGGTATATATTCATTAGATATTGTCACTGAAGAATTTTTAAAAGCATGTAATGCTACAGTTAAAAAGGATTCTGGAAGTTAAAAATTATGTAAATCAAATACCTCAATTTACAGAAGAAATTCTGACCTGTAGAAAATTCTAACTTTAGGATTAAGGAAGAACAAGGAATAAAAAAAACCCAAAGACTCCTAACCCTTTCTTTCCTTGGTGACCCCAACCCATAAAAGCAAAACACTCAAATTTATTTTTACTTAAGAGAATGATGGATGCCTATGCCTCTCTAATTTCTGTTGGCTGATGGTCTTATTAAGAACACTTCAAATAACCCAAACTGACTTAAATTCATAAAAAAATAAAGAAGGAATAATTCAAATATGATATGACCTATATAGGTACTCCAATCACAAAATTCAAACCACTTGTAATGGCATTATTAAATTGGATTACAAAAATATATGAAATGTAAATTTAATGACAGAAACTAAAGATGCAATGATAGGAAAGAAAATATTTAACATTAAAAATAACATTTTGTTACTTTTTATATGTTCACCACAAATATTACTGTAAGAATCTTACTGTTAGGATGCACTATGAGGCACCAAAGACAAAGGCTGTATAAAACTGTCCATTTATGAATACTATGTGTCAGAAATAAAACAAAGTTAACCTGGTCGGTATTTTACAAAAAAAAAATCAGTTATGTAGCTAATTAAATTCTGCAAGAGTGAAATATAAAAAAGGTTACACATAGCTTCCCACTTTCCTTCTTTCTCAAGAGGAAAAACAAAATTCAAAGCTGGACCTGTCCAGTGTAGTTCAGTAGTTGAGCATGGACCTATGAATCAGGAGGACCTATGTCTGAGTTGCTGGCTCGATCCCCAGTGGGGAGCATGCAGGAGGCAGCTGATCAATGATTCTCTCTCATCATTCATGTTTCCATCTCTCTCTTCCTCTCTCTTCTGCTCTGAAATCAATAAAAAACATAAAGCTAGGGACTATGATATAGAAGAAAGAAGACTGTACTGATTCTTCTTGGATGCAGCTTTAGCTCTCACACTAACTAAATAAAAGTGGAAAAGTCACTTATTTCTGGATCTCAGTTTCCTTCTGTAAATTGAGAAGATATCCTTTCCACATCTATGATTCCACACCACTGACAGAACACAAAATAAATTCATAGCTTCTAAAAATATTTAATTAACGAGTGCCTTCTATATACCAGAATTAAAACTAAGTGAATGAATTAAACAGTTAAAATTATTTGGCTTATACATATGCACAAGAAGCCACTTTTCACCAAGAGAATCTTAAAATGAAATTCTCAAAGGTAACAGCAAAAACCATTTAACATCCATCAGATTTCTTAATAATGAGGGGAAAAAATGAGAAGAATAAAAAAAACCTGTTTTTGTCATGTTGTATCTGGTTTTCTTTTAAATATATTTTTATTGATTTCAGAGAGGGAGGGAGAGGGTGAGTGCAAGATAGAAACATCAATGATGAGAGAGAATCACTGATTGGCTGCTTCCTGCATGACCCCTACTGGAGACCAAGCCAGCAACCCTGGTATGTGCCCCTGAGTAGAATCGAACCTAGAACCCTTCAGTCTGCAGGCCAACACTCTATCCACTGAGCCAAACCAGCTAGGTGCATTTGGTTTTCCATGAGTATGATCATGTGTGAATAGATCTTCATTACAAAAATATTTTGAATGAAACCAACCATTAAAAACAGTAAGATGGCTAAGTAAACAGACAACTGTTTGTCTCAAAGCCTTTAAACAAAACCATCAATTCTGTTCTGGGTGGGTTAGCAAGCCTGAATGCTAATTAATGATTAACTATATCAATTTTCATAGTTCTGAGCTGATATAGATTACTTCCTTTATTATCCTAATGGAGAGATGGTGGTCAATTTCACAAGATTACAGAAACAAAACAAAACAAAACAAAACAAAACAAAACAAACAACTTCCATCACTGGGCAAGATATAGCAGCAGTTCTATTAGGACCTTTACACACCTGCGTCTCTCCCTGACCTCTGACGTGGAGGAGACAGTGCCAGCAGTAGTTGTAGTCAGGGTTGTGGTAGAGGCTGCAGCATTTACAACAGTTGGAGCAACAGGAATGGTCACTGCCGTAGGAACACTGTCCTTTTCTTTTTCAGTACTATCCTCAGCCCACAAACGATTTGAGGTACTATAGCATCACAAGCAGCAACACAAAAAGAGAAAAGGAAAACAGCTAAACAATGAAAGCACTTTCTAGCAGCTGAAAACATGTGACTACAGGGATGGATTTTTTTAAAATACAAGGCAAGACGTTTTTTAACTATGAACCAAAAAGCTCAACCAGAGCTGTCAAAGAGAGAAATTTGTATTTTAAGCAGCCTAATTCAAGGAAAGTTTGCAATTCAGGAATCTAATTTATTTCCCCAGACATGCATCACAGCAACTTTTTGGAACCAATTTTTGTTCGTAAATGATTTTAACATGGTAAATGAAAAAATCCAGAGCCCCACAATTTTCTAAACAAAAACGCATGCACGTACGTAAGCACATAGTAAGCCTGAACACAAAGTGTATCTGTGACTCACCTGCTTTGTGTGCCTGCTGAGGAAGAACCCGTTGTAATCTTTGTAGTAGTGCTTGTGCTGGAAAGCAGGCTTTTCTGAAGCCCAGCTGCAGAGGTAACTGTTGGTGTTGATGTGGTGCTTGGAACACTAGAACTAATCAAATCATCTTGTCTTCTACCAAAGGAGCAACTAAAGGAAAGAGTCATATCTCTATAGAATGTGTTTGTATGTGTATTCTATAGTCAATGTCTATACATTTTAAGATTCACAAGGCTAGGGGAAATCTAAAAAACTGTGTTCCTAAATACACCACCAGCTCCAGCACCAAGAGTTGCACCTACAACTTGCTAGAGTTTAGATAATTTCACTAATTTGGTAGTGTATCATTTTACTGCCTCCCCCCCTCCTTCAACAAAATGCAAAGATGATCTGATCTGATATTTTACATTATCTGGAACTGTTCCAGACCATAAGGTCATGTCTGTCTGGGTCTGAGAAAAAATACTGTGGTTTGGATTTACTCAAGGAAAGTTAAGACTTTGACATTTTTGAAGAAAATTGTTTCAGCAATGGGTCACATCCTTAGGAGTGATCCATGCCTTATTATATTTCTTTGTCTTTTACTCTATTTTTTGGTTGCTTTTAGCCATGAAATAATTATTTACCCCCCTAGCCCCCCATATAATATTACCAACATTCTAATTCAAAACATTTCCATAGCTCTGAGTCCTAAGACAATTGAAAAATTTCTAGGTCACCAAATAATGACCAGGTCAATTAAGACACTGATCTATTTCAATTGCTCCAGTCAATTATATAAGGAGCTCCTTTTTCACATGCTACAATTGAAAAGATACTTCATAATATATCAAATTAATTATATATATATGTGTGTATACACACACACACACACACACACACGCACACACATACATATACACACATATATATATACATACACACGCACACACACAGCAGGTCCTCAAATAACATCGTTCGCTCAATGTCATTTCATTATAATGTTGATGAGAAGCCGTAGGAACTCAACTCTTATTTATATTAATCAGCCTAAAGTAAAATTGGTTTCATCATATGACGTCTTGCTTAAAGTAGCAGAACCTACTGACATTATGTGAGGACTAAATGTAATATAATAGGAAGGCATCAGTAGGTGCAAAGTTTCACTCATTTTAAAATATATTCTGTTTTTCAACGTTTTATTTAAACATCAAATGATATATATTTTTAAAAGCACATTTTCTTATATAATATTAAATTGAGGAATTCAAACCAACGGCCTCATATTTTTATAAAATACATAAAAGTCACTTAAGAATTATATTACTACCTTTTATGATAAGTTGATCCTTCATTAATTGAGCTATTCCTTTTGAGATCATCTTCCCATTTTCTTCTTGTATAGGAACTACTTGTTCGCAAACTTGAAGAGTCTCTGAAAAACAATATACTTCAGATTCTGATAGATAATTTGTAAGTAGGGTTAAGGAAGCTGTACATTAATAAACATTAGTAGAAATAGAAACTAAAAAAAAAAAATCCCTTGGGAAAATACTTTGGCATATTTATTAAGAAGTGGAAGTAATTTTAGTTCTAAAATTCTATCCCTAAGGTATAATGCTATTTATAGGGGGGAAATTAAGATGTTTGCAGACATTTAAATTATGATCACAAAATATTAGAAATTTAAATGTCTATAGTTTTAGGAGGGGAAGTGGTTACTTTAATTCAACAGATCTACGCTATGGAATATTATGTACTGATGAAAAACAATCTAAGATTGCATATGAGATGTTAGATTTAAAAAAAGTCAAGATACAAAATTGGAGGCTTTAACATGATTACAACTATATTAAAAAGCTCACACTCTATCTGCTGAAAAATAGGAGGAAACAAACTAAATTAAATAGGGCATTTTTTCTACCCTTCTTTTTTCCCCCTTTTCTGTATGTTTTACATATTTAGAGAGTATGTACTACCTTGTGACCTCATTTGCCACCACTGTCCCCTCGCTGTGCTCCACCACATATCTTTTTTCACTATTCATGAACAGAGCAAGCCAGAACTTCCTCAAGAGTCCTTGGTATTCTATTAGGAATACCCTCCTTCTCTTCCCATAACCCATATCCCACATAATTACAACAATGCTCATGCTTTAACTCTCATGCTAGATAATAAAGACTTTATAGGAAAGACAAAGCAAATCATAATGAATCTACCTGTTTTCCTTCTCTTCAATGTCAGATGTACTGGCTAGTCGTCTTGGTATTGTAGGTGCAACATATGCAAGCCTAGTTCCTTTACTATCTTTCTCCTATAAGACAGAAAAAAACCAACAAAAAACCCACGAGTGAAAATAAATGTGTGATAATTATAGGTACTGCCAAGAGTATTTATTTAACAGCCATCACAGTTTATAGTATTTCCATAGCTAAAATCTAAAATTGATACCTATTAATAGTCAAGTACTATAAACACTTACGGACAGCCTATTCAAACTAATTTTCTTTTCTTTCTCTTTTGATCTAAAATTAGACAGCATTCTAACATAAGAAAAGAAAAATTCCTCCACATTTTAATGACTCTTTCTAAAACTACTGTAACAGATTACTTAAAGTAATGCTGTATCAGAAGGTAAACTATCCTTATGGTTCATTAATTAAGTCCCAATGACTTAACACTTATGTTATATAAGGTATTATCTTGATATTCTACCCTTTAAAATGTAACAATACTATATTCAAAACAAAATTATTTTAATTATATATAAATAAATATCTCCAAGTTTGGTTGAGTGTTTAAACAATAACATCTGATACATCCCAACTATATTGGCAGCCATATATATGTTGGAAACAATAGGGCAATAAATTCATACAAAATAAAAATATTAAAATTACTTGATGCAAAATTCCATTTCTGAATTTCTGATACAATAAAACACTCCTAAACAGAGAGAGAAAACTCTATGGAAAAAGAGTCCAAGCACTAAAAATGCAGAATATAAATAATCTAACTATATAAAATAACACTGAATGAACTGTGGTACATTCCATGTGATGCAATATAATACTGCCTTTCAAAATACAGTTATTAAAACTACTCATGAAGACAAAATTGCCTGTGATGCATCAGATGGAAAAGCAGGTAAAAAAGTTGCAGATACTAGATAAATGCAACTTAGGAGTATAATCACATTCTAGAATAAATGTGTTCCGAAACTTTGGAAAACTTATCTAATAAATAAACTTGCTCCTTGATATATTTTATGGTAAATTCTCAAGTAAGATAAAGAGTTCCTTTATTGAACGTAGTCTAATCATATGTAATGATTCCATATAGATATTTGTTTAAGGTAGGGACATTTGTATTGACATTAAATTATTAAGTCAGGTGAATTAAGTTGATACATAGATCTAATGATACATAGTAGAAAATCCAAGGGATCTGATGTTGCTAAAAAACAAATCATTAGAGTTTTCATAGAAACCAGATTTTGAAATACATTACCTTTTCTTTATTATCCAAAGAGGAGGAAAGCCTGGGACTTGATGCTGAACGCATAACACCCGCAGTGTCTTTTTCTTTCTGAGCCTCTTTAGATGCCGTGATCTCTGCAAGTGCACCATAACTACCAGTCTTCCTAAGTCCTAACCTCCACGATGCAGGAGACTCATCTTTTCTCTCTTCATCTTTGGAAGAAATTTTTGTAGCTGAGGTTGGAAACTGTTTTTATTATTAAGGAGAAACAAAAAAGAATTATCAAGAGATCATTCCTTAAGCTGGAAATAGTAAGTTTACAGAAAAAAAAAGTTTAAAATTAGTTAATAGTTTCAAGAATAACACTTTTACTAAGCAGGTTAATGTCTTAGTCAAAAGTGAAAAGATCTAAAACTGAAAAAGGAATGAACTACCTTTCCAGGAGTTAGATTTAGAAAACACACTGCACACTTTATGTCACACAGAAAAATTACGCTGCAAATACAGAGAAAAGAAATGAGCACACCAATAAGGACTTAAAACCATGCATTTTTGGAACCAATATTCATATTAAACTTGTTATGTTGTAACCGAACATAAACCCTTACACATTGAAATGCCTCACCATAGATTTTTCTCCCTTACTGGGCACAAGAACAATGCCAGTTTTGCGCAAGCCCTGCCTCCATGATGCGGGATCTACTGATTCCACCACAGGCATGATAGGAGCAATGAACTCATACTAAAGCCAATTAAAATAAGACAGGTAAAGAGATAGATTGAAAGCATGAAAACAGAAAAGAAAGTTATGAAAAAAAAAACCACACCTTTTTCTTTCATAAAAAATTTTTACAAATAAGTTAAAATCCAGTAAGTGGGTAATAATTCAATCTTTAAAAGTTACTGAAAACAAGTTCCACTTTTAGCATGAAAAAAATCTAAAGAATATAATAAACGTCTAAAGCAGTAAAAGGCACATAGAGCAGATAATATTATAGAATGTGAATGAATAAACTATTTCACTTCAAATTTTTTTAAATTCATTTATATATTTGGGTTAAAAATTTTAAATTCAGCATAATCAATAAAAAAGTAATGTGACATCTTCTGGTTACAATTTTTTTCAGTAATATTTTAATATCATAACCTTATATTTACTGTTTGATTTTTCCACTAAACATTAAACATTTTAACTAAAAACTTTGGTACAAATATTAATTTCATTTCCAGGGCTTTCCTTCCAACAGTCCTAAAACTGAAACATCTGTTATCTTTAACTAGTTCACATCATCAACTTCACTTACAGAATTTAAATATTCAATCACAGTGAAATATGGATGGTGAATATGCAACTAACTAGTTGCTGCAAGCATAGGATATGACTATTTAAAAAAAATCACTTCTTTCATATTTACTGCCAAAATTTGCTATAATTAGCAGATTAATAGAGCTTGCTGAAGCACCCATGATGACAGAGGGCCATTTCACCAGACAAAACTGTTATAAGATACCTCTGGTACTTCCAGTAGTTAATTCCCATCAACAGGGATGAAAACAGACATATGATATACAACATTCCCCGAAGTGTGTACTGAGGCACTCCAGGGTGCAGAACAAAATCACAGGAGCACTATGGGATATTTTAAAGTTTTGAAAGAAGCAGAGTAACACCTGTTGGACACTGTACAAACTTTCATTATTAACTTATTTGCACTTAACTACTTAATAAATGAAACAAGTATTTCTTTCAGCCAAGTGGCACTGTGAAAAGATAAATTAGTAAGACACTAGGGGCTCCATGAATCGAAAAAGCTCAGGAACCACATGGCAGGCATTGAGGTGACTGGTTATTGATTTCTGAGATTAAAGTTATAGTCCTCTAGAACAGGCGTTGGCAAACTCTTTTCTGTAAAGGGCCAAACTGTAAATTTTAGACTTTGAGACCACAGAGTCTGTTATAGCTACCCAACTATGTTGTTGTAGCACAAAAGCAGCCACAGGAAATACATAAGTGAAAAATGTGGCTGTATTCCAATAAAACTTTATGTAGAAACACTGAAATTGGAATTTATGTCACAAAATACTCTTTTGATTTCCTTCCCTACAACCATTAAAAAAATTTGGAAGCCATTCTTACTTGTAGGCTATATAAAAGCAGGTAGTGGGGTCCAGCTTTGGTTCACAGACCATGGATACCAATCCCTACCCATGAACCTCCCCAAAACTGGAAACAAATGTTACTTCTCTATGATAAGAAGGTCAGATAGCAGATAACATTTACTGAATGTTGTAATGGAAACAAACATTTAACAAATGTTTATTGGTGTCAGGCCCTAAGCTAAGTGCTTCACATGGGTTATCTCATTTAATTCTTACAACCACCAAATGAAATACTATTACTATTGTAGAGTTGAGAAAAATGAGGCAATATTATAAATTCTGAAATAAATATTGGTTGCACTATAATGACTGACATACTTCCATTCTGTCCAACATGAATTTGCTTTTAAGTTCTGGTGTATATATTCAAAAGCACCTTTCAATTTTATTTGAAATATAAAGGACCTCTCTAAAATACTCACCTATACTCACTCCCTGAAACTCTTATTTTAGCTTTAATGATAGGGCACTACTTTGACTTTCCTACTCTTCGGATCAGTCCCCCTTTTTGATCTTTTTGTCATTCTTGTAGTTGGCAAGTTTCCTTGTCATAGCCCTGCAACATAAGTACTACAAGAGTTTATTATCAGATCTCCTATGTTCTCTTTCCAGTTTCTTCTCCTGGTGGTTGGGTGTAGGGTGCTGTCTACTTCTTCAGGCTAAATATTAATTGCATTCAGCTTATTCTTCAATTTGTTACTCTCTAGCTCAGTTTGACTTCTAAATTCCCATTCTTGATCATCCCTGAATTTCTATTTACCTTTAGAAAAAACACACAACACAACTTGTTATAGTTCATATATCTTACCATTTAGTTTGGGGCTCTATATTACTTTGAATGAGCCTTAAATCAATGTGGTTTTAATCAATGGTTTGTTCTTTGAATGGTTGCTAATACTGTACATAATCTTACTGAGTATTATACAAAATGAAGGTGTGGTATCAAACTTCAGGTTGAAACAAACTTAAGAAAAACTATAATGTTAAACTGAAGTACATAAAGTAGTACTGAACATTGCCGGGAGCCGGTCCATGCTTGCTGTTTCAAGGGACCTGGCATATATGGCATACTGTTCTTAATATGTTTGCTCACCTTCTTGGCACTATGTGTTTTAACCAAGGTCTCTGAGAAAGGTTATTTCCCCAGGTAGAGATTTTCCCCTGAAGTTAGGGAGGGAATAAAACCTCTTAACTAGTGCCAGGTGGGTAATTAATCACTTTAACTACGAACAATCATGCTTAAGCTACATAATCTTTACCTCCTGGAATGGAGATAAGAAACGCCCTAACCTTTGTAATAGAGATTGGTAGGATTGAATCAACTGGTATAAATACAGATGTAGTAAGACAGCAAGAGACAGAACTTAGTATACGGAACCAAGAGAGACAGAACCTAGGCACAGAACCTACACAGAACGTTCTCTAGAGACAGAAGAACTTTGCTGGAGAGAACATGGCAAAAGATCCTGGACTGAACCTGACTACAGAAATTGGCAAGAGAACCTGACTAGAACCTGGTGACTGAACCTGGCTGGAGAACCTGGACAGAACCTGGCTGAAGAACCTAGCGAGGGAACATGGCTACAGAACCTGGCTGGAGAACCTGGAGAACCTAGCAAGAGAACATGGACACAAAACCTGGCTGGAGATCCTAAGCAGAACCTCTCTGGAGATCCATACCAGAACTTGGCTGGAGATCCTGGCTAGAGGAACCTGGCTATGATGATCACCCGAAGGCTGCCTCCGTGTCATTCCTTCTTTGCCGACTCCAGACCACACCTTTGGGGACCCCTGGACCCGCTGGGGTTGGACCCCGGCAGAACATAATAAGAGGCTTTAAAAAAATCATACACTAATGATAAAAAGATCACACCAACCATTAAAAAATAACACATCAATTTTTTTGTACACTATGAATTTACTGCTTTGAATAAAATTTGTCTATTAAACCTTAAAAAACAAAGACTGAAACAATATAACCTTTAAATTAGGTTATGATGCTTGAAATTGAGAATTGGTATTTCTAAATATTCAAGTTATAGAAGCAAATAATTATCAAGTTAATTTAATTACAAAATCAGAATTCTGAATAAGAATTTTATAAGCAAACAAGTTATTAGCTCACTAATCTAACAGAGCTATTAAGTGTTTGTTTTCAATTAGGGTAATTGGCATAAATCAAGAGGTAAATTGCCATAAATTTGGAGCTATGCTTGAGAAAAATACAATTAATCACAAGAAGTCTATTGCAATTATTTGACTCTGGTAAGAAAGACATGGCTTAGCCAAGTACTCAAAAGAATGACAGCCAGTTTAATGGCCAACTATTCCAAGGGGATGGAGCTTTTGAGGAACTTTGGCTAATCCACATTCTAACAAATAATAAATCAAAAGAGCTAAAATTCATTGAAGAAGTATATAGAGGTTATATAATTAAATAAGACTTTAGTTAAAGCAGCTTGTGGTGACACCAGTTATGTATGACATGATAACCAAATTCTCTATAAGCAGCTAGAGAATTCCATTTGAAAGCATATATAATTTTAATCATATGAACATGGGATCTAGCTGAACTCAAGAAACCCTTAGTTCTAGACTGTAGAAGGTTAAGACAACTACTCATTCATACAGTTTTCTGATACTCAAACCACACAAGTGAAATCCATACATTTCTACCACTAAGATTCACATTATTGATTTCATTAGGAAAAGTTTTAGAAGAGGATTAGTACTAACAGTATAGATTTAAAAAAATTCTCTTCTTTATGATTTTAAAAGACTCACATTTTGACCACTTGGAGCCAAGCCCAAAGATTAGCAAGATTGACACTATAATAGAAACACTATAGGGATTTTAACATTAGTCCTCAAACCCATGCAAACCAAATAATGTCAGATAAGCAACAAAATAAAAAATGACAGCTACACAAAATGTACAATCCCTGAGTGCACCCTTGATTTGAAAAAAGAAGTTAGGAAAACATAACTGTAACCAGGAGGGAAACTGGGGAAATCTTGAGTATGGTCTGCACATTAGTGAACGCAGATAATAACAGTATTATATCAAAGTTAAATTTCCTAAGTATGATAATTTTAGTGTGGGAGTGAAAGATAATGACTTTGTGCCTATGAGATACTCAAGTATTTACAGCCAAGTGTTATACTGACTGTAACCAGTTCTTAAATGGTTCAGCAAAAAAGATGTGTGGAGTTTGTGCATGTGTGTTTGTGTTTATATAAAAAGAGGTACATGAGTATACTCCTTAAAGATAAGTAAGGGGCAGTGGAAAAGAAGTCTTTGAAAACAGATAAGTAGGTAAAAAAACAACTACACAGAACTCTTAATCTTAAATTTGGGTTTAAAGAGGTACAGGTTCTGGAGTAGAAGGAAAAATAAAGTATTTAAAAAGATTAACACACTAGTTGAAAAGCACTGGTTGGTGAGAAAAGAAAACAAGAAGGACAAAGAACAAATGGAGGACAGAATAAGGGAGAAGAGGAAGAAATGACTAACATTTTGGGAGCTTTAGTCACTAGCCAGGCTCTCAACAAAAGATTACAATGTTAACTTACTTTCTTTGTTTATTGTTTATATATACACTAGAGACCCGATGCACGAAATTCAGGCCTTCTTTCTCCTGGCTGCTGGCACTGGTTTTCCTCTGGCACCCGGGCTTCCCTTTGGCACTAGGGATCTAGGCTTCCCCCCCGGCCGCTGGCAGGCACGTGGGACCCAGGCTTCCCTCTGGCCGCCAGCAGGCACCTGAGACCTGGACTTCCCTTGCAGGCCCAGCTTCGTCCAGAAGGACATCCGGTCTAATTAGCATATTACGCTTTTATTATTATAGATATCTTTTTTCTTTTTTGACAGGTAAGGAAGATAGTAACTCACTCAAGGCATAAACTTAAAAGAAGTGGGGGTCAGGAGGTAATCTCTGATTTGTCATCAAAGATAATGCTTTTACTGGTAAGCCGTACTTGCATGCTTAGTGCTTTGTATTGAGCTAGAAAATCTATATTCTAGTTTTTTCATTGACTTGTGGTAGTACTTTTTGGGCTTAATTTAACGTTCATGTAAAACATGCACCTACAAAAATGCACCTTTGCCTAACAGAGATAAATGATAAAAAAAAAAATCTGTTTCTCAGTTTCAACTGAAATAAAAACTACCATGATTATTAATTTTCATATGAAAAGTTTAATCTTTCCACCACTGATTTCTGATAACTATTAACTATAATATCAACTGCAAAAAGCATTAAAATATAAGGATTCAGAGGAAATCTAGTCAAATTAAAGAAAGAAAAATATATTCTTACTCTAAAACCTTAAATATTTGGGGGATAAATTATAAAAATTTAGAACTGTCTTAATGTTTTAACCCAAACAGTACTTAAACAGAAGATATGCATTTTTAGCAAACATAATTTTGGCTTACCTTTTTTATAGGTGATGTAGGTGTTGCCTGACCAGATGGCACAGTAGGTGTTGTAACAGCTACAGGAGCTGCTTGTGTACTAGAAGTATTGGCATTAGTTACAGAAGCCATGGGTTTTGTCTTATCTATTTTAATAAAAAAAAATAAAAAAAAAGGAAGAACATTAAGAGTTCAGATTCTATATGAATTTGATTTCAATGGCTTGGAAAATACAATTTTATATTCCATTTTTGTTTAAGGTTTTGTTAATTCAAAGTCTTTCCCCACTATTAGTATCCCTTTTAACAAGTAAATTTTTAATGGAGTTTCTAGAAATGTCTCAGTATATATGTTAAAGTAAATGAAATAATATGAAAAAATACAAAGCTTTAAAAAATAAAAAGCATAAATAGAATCTGACTTGTACTTTTAACATATGGAAATTTAAAACATATTTAAAATTAATCTTTAAAACTTGAATGCATAAGTTCATGTAAGTAAAAAAATTACAAGAGCTGTGCAATTTTTTAATGTTTAAAAACTTATATATCTAAAGCTGATATTCTTTATTCCAGAAATCTAGAAGTGCTTTTTGTCAATAATCAGCTTAGATTCCTGACAAAAAAAGTATGCTTCAAAGTCATAAAAAACATGCCTTTTCATCCCTAAAAAGTCTATAGTTAAATGGGTATAATATCAGGTAAAATCTCTTTTCACAATATATCAAGACAATTTCTAACTAGTAATGAATGACTTAGAGAAAGATTTTTGAAAATATTAGAAAAATCAATCTGATGATAGAAAAAATCCAGACTGTATGTGAACATATAAATCAGACTGGCTTTTACCAAAATGATCACATATAATTTAAATCCTTAAATTAACTGTAATTTATAAATGAACTAGAAAAGTTACTTTCCAAATGGTCATAGGTCATTTTACCTAGTTTTAAAGTATTCCTTTGGTTTCAAAATGGGGTAGGACAGGTGTCCTTCTAGAATCTAGACTTTGAGAAAGAAGTATAGTGCTTTAAAACCTTATGAGAAACTCATTTTCATTATACTACCTTACTCCCTCCTTCAGATCACCAGCTTTCCAAAAAAAATCTTCCATCTTATCATTATTGTATGTTGTTATACTTTAAAAGTAGACTCCGGGGCAAGTATAGACATCCTACCAACAATGTGAATTTGCAATGATTCATTCACTTCTATTTACATTTACATAAACATCCATAAGATGTTAAGTTGAAAAGCATATCTTAAACTATACCCAAGGACACGGCTAAACTGTCACATTTGAAAACTACTATAACCTTAGGTTTTCAAATAAACTGAATCAGCTAGACTCAGTCCAGTAAAATTTATTTTCATTGTTAACTAATACCTCTTTTCCTTCAACAGAAGCTAAGTTTATCAGCACAGTTAAATACAAATCATGAATAATCTAATTAGCCCATCTTCCTAGAAAATAATCCATTTAAATGGAGCAAGTAATTCAACATATATTTGTTGTCTGCAAACTGCAAGAACTGTCTAGGTCTAGGTCCTGGAATGTATCAGTCAATGAAAAGACAAACTATTTTAATTGCACAAAGTTTACAGTCTAGTCGAAGAGATAAATAATAAAAGATAAACTTCAAAAGATTTTATTTTTTCTTTTCTCCCTATTTGCTTTTCGTTTAAAAATTTGTTTCTTATCAGTGAAATATACAAATCAAAGAATGTATATGCATGCATGTAAACATTTATGGTTTAAGAATAATGAAACAAACTCCAGGTGTCTACTAGCTAGCTTAAATAAACATTATTAATATTGCACAAGTTTTTCTATCCATTTGATTTCAATGAAGAATGAAAATTTTCCAAGTCCTAATGGCAAAAGAACCTAAAAGCAAAAATATAACTCCTTTTTCTCATTCCCTCAACTACTTCTCAAACTTATAAATTATTTGAAAGGAAATTATACTTTTGGTTAAGTTCCTACTTTCATATGATTTATGAAAAGAATACCAATTTAAAAACTGGTTTAGTACATAATTGGTGAAAGAAAATTCAGCAAAATTGTTATTTTATGTCAAAGAGTTTCCCAAGAACCTAACCATACAAAAAGTAGAAAAAAAGAAACAGTTTAGAAATTGTCAAATCAAGCTGTAGCTCTACAGGGAAATGGTTACTTTCTTAAGCTTGCCAAATAAAAGTATGATAAAGTCTTGTTGATATTAAAAAAGAGAAGGAGCCACACAGCATTTACATGGATTAATTCTCGAGATGGAGTCAAATTTTCCTGGCACAACTCACTATTAGCAACAGGAAGAACAAAATTATCATAGTACAATGCTTCAGAAGAATGTTTAAACTTAGCTCAATGAGAAACTAAGCAGAGAGTGACTGGTATGTTTAAGCTCCAAACAAGGAACTGATACAATACAATTTGATGATAATTAGTTCTATTTATATTTATAGAATAGTAGAGTTTAAAGAACTATCCAGATCATCAAGTCAAATTCTTCTCATTTTACAAGCAAGGAAATTTCAACCAAAAGAGGTCAGGAATATTGCTATTCAGTGGCAAGACAGCCTAAATCTGTCTTTTGATTGTTTTAAATAGCTCCTCAGTGCCTACCATTGAACAGTGAAGTATATAGAAGGGACCAATTTAAAAATATATATATCAAAAATCTCTGTGCGATGCCTGGATTTTCAGTTCTTAAATTCTACCGTGAGTAGTAAAAGATTTGACAAATTAGGAGATCTGGGTGCTAGTCCTGGCTTTTTTGTTCACATGTGCATATAATCTAATTCCTAATTATATATTTTACTATAGATTGGGGGCCAAGGCATGTTGCACAAGGAGAGTAACCATATAAAAATAATGTTAAGTACTTACAAAAGTATCTGGGACAATTTAAATTTAAATGATACCGTTTCATCTTGAACATGAGAAATAGCACAAATTTAACTGAAGTGATATTAGGTTAAATCAATAGTGTAGAATTTTATACAATTATTATATGAAAACCAACACGTACTAGTAAAGCAATTGACTGCTATATAATTCCCATTTAAAGCAGGTATTATAAGCATGATTTTAGAGAAATCTGAAATTAAATATATCAACCACACCTATAATTACATCCATGAATCAGTCCATGTTCTTAAATACTGTGCATGCTGATTCTCATATAATTTGCTTTTATAATTAGAAACATTTTAATTAGTGTTATAGAAATAAATTATAATATTCAATAACTATTGCTTTTGCTTCCAATTTTACCCACATTACTGTCTCACCAAGGCAAAAGGTATGCTTACCTAAACAGCAATGTGACAGCAATAAATAAAAACAATTAAAGCCCCAAGTGACAAGAATGTAACTACATATATATATGTGTGTGTGTATATATATATATATATATATATATATATATATACACACACACATATATATGTGTGTGTGTGTATATATACACACATATACATATATGAACTCTGTGTATTACTGAAAAATAATTGTATGATTAGCCATCTTTCTAAAAAAAAAGAGGGGGGAATCCAAAACATATTACCTGTTAACAAAGCTAGTCTGTATCTGTTTAGCAATATCTTGTTTTTAATGGGAAACTTATGTTCCTCAACATGTGTTTATATGGTAAACTTTGTCTTCTCCCATTTTCTTATATAAAATATTTTGTTGAGTAAAGATAAAGTGATTCAAAACTGTTATTGTTTCTAGAGGAGATATAGGTAGTACAAGAAATTCTAGGGTTCCATTTTGTGTTTACTAATGACCAAACTGGTTTTGATAATGATGACAGATTTTTCAGTGAACTAAAAAATCTTACTGGAAATAGTATATTTTTTTCTGAGAAAGCTGTATTAAAACACCAGGTTATATAATTCAAAGACTGTCAAATGGAATCTCATACTGTTCAGAAGTTTTGACTGATTAACTGATACAGAATAAGATAATAAATGTTAATTAGTAAAAGCAATTTGGTAAAATTTACAAAAATGTGGGCAAGAGAAAAAATACAGAAACAATTTCCTTGACTATATAAAGGAAAAGAATGTAAACTGTTATGGCAGCATTGGTAATGCAATTTAGTAGCATCTATGAAAATTGAAAGCATGGCTAATATCTGGTGACAGATGATTTGACTTTGGGTGGTGGGCACAAAATGCAATATATAGATCTTGTATATTAGAAATTTACACCTGAAACCTATATAACCTATTAACCATGTCACCCCAATACATTTAATTTAAAAATTAAAAATAAACTAACAAAATAAAATTAAAAAAGAAAATGTGACTAATATTTCAATTTTAAAGTATATCTACTAGAAAATCTCTTGCACTTATACACAAAGAGGCAATTACACAAATGATTACTGCAGCATTATTTGCAACAACAAAAAAATGGGAATAAGGTATGTATTTATCAGAAGGAAAATGAATGTATTTAATGAATATTATTTAGCAACTAAGGGGTAAATTGATATAGATATGAACAAATCTAAAAAATACAACTTTTGAATGAAACAAAGCAAGTTGCATAACAATTCCTAGAGGGTAAAAATAAAAACAAAGAACAACGTTATAATTACTTTGTATTATTTCTGAATGTACTTGTAAGGTAAGAGTATAGAAATGGACTAGAAGATTACTGAAAAAAGTCATGATAGTAACTGCCTTTGGAAAGAAAGCAAAGGGATGTAGACTAGGGTATATAAAGAAGACAACTATAATGTTTTAATTTTATTAAAAGACAATTTTAAAGCAAATATAGCTAAATGTCAATAGTTATTAAGTCTTGGTAGTTAAAATATGAATGTTTATTATACTTTTACTGTCTTTAAAATTTCTCAAAGTAAATTTCCCTACACTCCTACATGAAAGTAGGAATGTAGGGAAATCTTGATTCATCTCCAACTTTCTAAAATTTTACTATATCTTGGGTAATATTTGGGATGCTGCTGGGACCTGCTTTTGGACTTTAGGGCCTCAGAAAATAATAAGAATATAGTTGAATTACTGTAAGTCCATTTAGACCTTATCTACAACATCCTAAGGGAGAATTAGAAGTCTCTTTACTGTCAAACCTAAAAAGGTAAGAAAGAGACAGAGGTGGACAGGAGCCTCCAGGTAATTAGAAAAAAGAAAAAAGAAAAAAAAAAAAAGATCACAACTATACTCCCTGAAAGGTAATTTACTGGTTTGGTAGATATCCAAACAAGTAGCAAATAAGTCTGAAAAGTTTCAAAATTACTTAACACTTCCTTCTATCCTTCAAATTTTACCTGTTTCAGCTTCTGATTCTGAATCATCTTCCTCATCTTCTTCACTCGAGCAGCTAGATTCATCTTTCTTTCCTTCTTCTTCATCATCAACCTTTTCTTGTTCCAGAGATTCAATACGAGATGCATTTTTCTCTGGCTCAATAATCAATGTCTCTTTGCTGTGAAAGGAAAATAGCTTTCAAATAATTATAAGCACAAAAGGTCAAAATACATAACTCTTACCCAGACTTACAATATTTAACAATCATTCCTGTGGCCAGCATGCCAACTCATTCATAACAATAACAAAACCTACTTTTAATATTTTACTTACTTTTTAAAGGTCTTCTGTGACTGATTATTGTCCATATTAGCTGTTGATTCAATTAGTGGAGATTTCTTCTCCCGTTTTTCACTATGGAGCTTTATGAAAGTTATGCAAAGGAAAAGAAGAATATTATTAAAATAATATTAATTAGTAATATACAAAATTTAAAATTATAACAAAATAGTTTTCCAAACACTAAAGACAACCAAAATAAAACAAATAAAATTTTTAAGTTGCACCTAAAAAGGGCTTAGGTAAAGAATAAAAAAGACAAGATAATTAAAAAAACTCCATGAATTTGGATTATTTTAGATCCCTCTCAACTTTATTTCACTAAAAAGTCAGGGCCCAATCACCACATAGGATGTCTGATAATATTTTACTTAAAAATCTGTTTCCTAGTAATATCATTCCTTGCTTATCCAGGGCCTGCTATTTGAGAAATCTGAGATTTTATAGCCTCTGCTTTCTAATTAAATTAGAACATATTATTTAGGACATATACATTATAGAAGGATTCATTTTGTGAAGGGGAATTTAGAAATATGGGTATAAGCAACACAGGCAAACACCACACTACTTTGTTCTCTTTCACTGTCATTATAGTTTGATGGCCAGAAAGCATAAAACATCACAATAATTTTTTTTACCTATCTGAAATTCAAAGCTATTAAGAGAATTCACTAATGTGGACAATTTTTAGACAGTCATCAAACATACCAGATTTTGTTTCTTTTGCAATTCTTCTAAATATCCTAAAATGTCTTCATCTGCTACATCAAAGGCTGTCTGGCCCTAGGTAGAAAACAAGGGGGGTGGTAATGGTATAAAATCAATAAATTATAAAATGCATTTGGTGATTCTGTATGATTATATAGAAAAAAGTTAGATAACTATTTTATGGTAGTTATAAAACACAGTATACATAACTCAAAGGAGATATATGAGAAATCCATGTGAGATAGAAGTAGCTATACACCTTCCCTTACTTTTTTGTAACAACTTTATATATTCACATACCATATAAATCACCCATTTAAAGGATACAATTCAATGTTTTTTTTTTTTTTTAGTATATTCACACAGTTTTACAACACAATCAACTTTAGAACATTTTGATCACCCAAAAAAGAAAAGACAAACCCATCAGCAGTCACCTCCCCACTTAACCATCTCCAACTCCTAGCCTGAGGCAACCACTAATCTACTTTCTGTTACTATGGATTTGCCTATTCTGGGCATTTCATATAAATGGAATCACACAATATGTGATCCTTTGACTGGCTTTTTTCACTCTGAATGATGTTTTCAAGGTTCATCCACGCTGTAGCATGCTTCACTTCTACATTTCTTTTTATCGTTGAATAATATTCCATTGTATGACACACCACATTTGCTAATCTATTCATCAGCTGATAAACATTTACTTTTGTTTTCTGCTTTTTGCTATATCTAATGAATAATGCTGTGAATATTTGTGTACAAGTTTTTGTTTGGACATCTGTTTTCATTTTCTTGGGTGTATAGTTTATGAGTGGAATGACTGGGTCATGTGGTAACTCTATGTTTAACCTTTGGAGGCCTTACTACTTTTTGATTCCTCTACAAAAATTATCACATTTCTTAGAGTAATAAAATTTAAAAATATATTTCAAAACTGCTGAAAGTTCAGCCTGCCACAGGTACGGCATAGTTTAAAATAATCAATCCAAATGAACACCTGTCAATATATTTTTATTCAGTGTAGAAAAGAAAATCTAAAAGAGTTGCTGGTCAAATACAGGATTTTTCCTGCTGCTTGTATTAGTTCTTATAATAACCCTACTGGTACAAGTTTCCAACATGCCAAAAGGTTCATTATTTATAATACATTCTACCCTATACATTAGCCAGTGTATGATTCTTTCTCAGAAAACATTGAACTTTTTTCAACTAGAAATCACTCTGAAAGGAAATTCAAATTTCTTATATAATAGATGTCCTCATAGCCACACCAAAGCCACATGGATAGATAATAATGACACAAATAAATTCTTTCATTTAAAGCAAACAAAATTACAATCCTCAAGTCTACTCTATTAGCAGGGTGCTGACATCTACTTAGATAGGAATTACATTTCCCAACACTATGAAATGAAATATAAGCTACTCAATATTTGAGCTAGTTTTTCCATTGTCTGTTTATAAAATAAAAGATATGGCTTAAAACATATATCTTAAAAATGCATAAAATGTTTCTTAATCACAATAGGGGAATGTATGACATTTAAAATTTACAAGATTGAAGAACACTTTTATATCTGCCTTTTTTTTTGTTAGAAAGTCTTCCCAGTAGGAAATTAAGAGGCAATCTATGTTTCCCACCTAGTTCAAAAGTTTTAGCTTTAATAAATCTTTTTTCCTCATTGCCACCTTGAGTATTAAATGCTGAGAATTAATTTCGTAAAGAATAAAGGGCTTTGAGACAAAATAACTAGCTCAAAATTACAAAGTGACTTTTAGAGTAGCCATACATATTAATCCCTGTTTTGCAATACCATACTCTCGCTGTATGATTAGATCTATAATATTACATATGCAGTACTTGCTAAGCAAACTGTGTTCAAGATCATGTTATTATGTGAAATATCTAACTGGCTTCTTTATAAGTATTATTTTAAGTATTTATCAACCTTTCTCATAAAGAAATACCGCACCTTGAGCATTTTTAAAAATTGTAATAAAATTTTAGCAGTAATTAAGTACAATGCGGTTATTTTAGAACCAAGGAATTTTCTTTTATAAGAGAAACAAGATCACCTTACTAACCTTTCTTTTTACTTTCTCCCTTAATAATCGAGTCTACTTCACAAACAGCAGCTGATAGAGAATAAAAACTAGAGTAAAATGTAGGCCATAAACACTGAGAAGTTTCTAATTTTAAAGAGCACACCCATTAACTTAACTCAATAACTTAACCATTATCTTTAAACAATAACTAAAACAGTCCTGAAGCCTAACCAACTGTAACTACTATAAGGCTACAATGCTTCATTAATAGGGTACTAACAAAGTAGGGCATATAAGCAGTCACTCAAAGCAACCAGGAAACTATTGAGGAGGTCACAATGCTTAAATCAGTTCAATACATCTGTAAATTACTAGAGCCACTGTTTAACTTGTACAGTCTCTTCATTCTTCCTTCCTCATTTACTCTAACTAAATTGCCTTTGCAGGTATGATCTTTATCTTTACAACAGTGAAGTAGTCAGGACAAGCACTATTATGATTCCCATTATACAAATGAGGAAACTCAGGCTCTGAGGATATGGTACTTGCCCAAGGTCATCCAGTTAATGAAGAGAAAGTGGGAACAGCATCTGTCTCTACTGCTATATTATCTTTACAGAAAATAAGAATAAGCTCAAATAGAATCAGGAAAAACAATCCTTGTGTCCATTAATAACAGCAGGTTTTGTTATTCACTTAAATCTTTATAATGACAGCTATGAAGCTAAAGAGTTGTTTAGTAATGATTGTAATACTGCATTTAGAGAAAATTCCAACTATAAAGGCACCATAGTTAATATTTGGGTAAATTTTAGTAAAAGCAATTCTTTTAATTAGTTAGGGAAGCAAAACAAAAGCTTTTCTATTTAAAATCTGTATCAGAACTTGTAGTAAGTTAAAATGACAGCAAATGTGTTTAGAGTTTGCAAATAAATTAAAGAAACAAGACTAAATTTATAAATATAACTTGAGCACATTTCCCCCATTTTCACATAGAAAAACTTTTAAGCTTTCTCTACAGTTTCCATATTACACATTTCCCCAAATTATGTTTTCTATTAGTAAAGAATTTATCTAAACTCTCTGAAAGTACCTTTACATTTTTGATATCATTTAAAAAAGAAATGTAGTAAAAAAAATTCAATCTACAAGTACTGAAGAAACTATTAAATGACAAGACAAATTCATATAGGCAGGCTTACACAATTAAGACTAATTTGTTTTGATTGAACATGAAGTATGACATGTTATTTTAAAATGTAGCCAATGAAAAGAGAGACAGCCTAAGTCACAAAGGCAACATTATAAATAAATAAAAAGCTTATATTTGGTTATATTTATGCCACAAAAGCCTTCAAAATCCTATGTATATTATGCAGCCCCTTCCTATTAAATCTTGATATTTTAAGGGGAAAAAATTTGAATAAAAATTTAAAAATCATATTTTTACAACTTATGAGTCAGTATCTCATAGAATATGTAAGAACTCAAAAACTAAGAAAAGTTGCAGAAAAACTTAGCAGACTAAAAGGAAACAATTAGGGCATTATGAAAATTAATTTCTCTGATTATGTTTCTCCTGAATTTGCAAAACTCAGATAACAACTTCATATAGTTGTTAAAAGGCTAGCATTGTCTTAAATAAGCTGAAAACCAAAAAATTCTAAGGAATTATGAGGCACAATTCTCTTAAGTACAGATAAAGATCTACTAAAGTGATAAAATGAGGAGATAAGGTATTAAAATATACCTTAATACTAGGTGTAGCAATTTTAATAATGCGGATTTTTTTCAATAGATGGAGTTACACGTATGTTGATATATATGTGATCTGATATGTATGCTATTTTGTTGTACTGACAACAAGCTTCAAAACTGCATGTCAAATTTGCTGAAGGTGTTAACAACATAGATATTTTTATGCTTAAAAATGTCGAATTTTGTGCCAAAAAATGAGCATTTGCAGGAAGTTTTAATTCATTACTTTATTTCGAAAAAAATGTTATCGCATACTTCAGGAAGCTTATGGTGAACATGCTCCATCTCAAGATACTTGTGAATGCTGGTTTACGCTTTAAAAGTAATGATTTTGATGTGAAAGATAAAGAACGTCCAGGTCAACCGAAAAGGTTTGAAGACAACAATTAAAAGCATTATTGGATGAAAATGCGTTTCAAACTCATAAACAACTTGCAGAAAGATTAAATGTTGCTCAGCAAACAATTTCTGATCATTTACAAGAAATGGGCAAGATTTTTTTAAAAAATATATTTCTTTACTGATTTCAGAGAAGGGAAAAGGAGAGAGAGACAGAAACATCAATGATCCGTTGCCTCCTGCATGCCCCCCACTGGGGATCGAGCCCACAACCTGGACATGTACCCTTGGCTGGAATCGAACCTGGGACCCCCCAGTCCGCAGGTCGACACTCTATCCACTGAGGCAAACAAGCTAGGGCAGTGGTCGGCAAACTGCGGCTCGCGAGCCACATGCAGCTCTTTGGCCCGTTGTGTGTGGCTCTTCCACAAAATACCGACTTCTGTGCATGGGCCACGAAGTTTCAATCGCACTGTACGTGCGCACCCACACGTGTTTTGTGGAAGAGCCACACTCAAGGGGCCAAAGAGCCAGCCGCATGTGGATCGCGAGCCGCGGTTTGCCAACCACGGGGCTAGGGCAATGAAAAAGATTTTAAAGGAAGAAAAATGGGTGCCACATCAACTGAACGAAAGACAAATGGAAAACCGAAAAGTCATCAGTAAAATGTTGCTTCAATGGCATGAAAGAAAGTCTCTTTTGCATCAAATTGTGACTGGTGATGAAAAGTTGATTTATTTTTAGCAGGGGGCGGGGTAGAGGGTAACGTGGGGACAAGGACACATATGTAATATCTTAATCAATAAAAATATATTAAAAAAAAAAGTTGATTTATTTTTAAAATCCCAAACACACACAATCATGGGTTGATCCAGGTCAACCATCAACATTGACTGCAAGGCCAAATCACTTCGGAAAGAAGACAATGCTCTGCGTTGGTGGGATCAGGAAGGTGTGGTGTATTATGAACTTCTAAAACCAGGTGAAACCATTAATACTGATCGCTACTGACAACGAATAATCAATTTGAACCATGCTTTGATCGTGAAATGACCAGAACGGGCCAGAAGACATGGCAAAGCAATTTTGCTTCATGATGACTAACCATCACACACTTCAAAACCAGTTAAAGACACGTTAAAAGATCTTGCCTGGGAAGTATTAACCCATCCGCTATATTCACCAGACTTTGCTCCTTCAGATTACCACTTGTTCCGATAGATGGCACATGCACTTTATGATCAGCACTTCAAAATATACGAAGAAGTGGAAAATTGGGTCTCTGAAGGGTTTGCCTCAAAACAAGAGAAGTTCTATTGGGACAGTATCCGCAAATTACCTGAAAGATGGGGGAAATGTGTAGCTAGCGATGGACATTACTTTGAATAAAGCACTTTGGATGTTTTTCTTGAAATTATCATGTTTTCTTTGATTACAAAATCTGCATTATTAACTGGTACACCCAGTACATTAAAAACGGTGACCCAAGGAACTGCTAGCATAGTAATATAGAAACAAGATAAAGCAAAATGATTGCTTAAATTATTTGAGAGAGAGAGGAATGAGAGGGACAGAGAGAAACACTGATGTAAAAGAGAAACAGATCGGTTGTCTCCTAAACACACCTTGATCATGGATCAAACCCGAAACCTGGGTATGTGCCCTGACTGGAATCCAACTTGCTACCCTTCAGTGCACAGGATGATGCTCAACCAACTGCAGCCACACTGGCTAGGGCCAAAATTATTTTATATGTAGTTTTTTTTTCCTAGAGCATAATTATAAATTAAAAGGAATAGGAACTAAACAATGATAGAACAAATATACGATAAAATGACTTTTTCTCATACATACTATGTAATATGCACGTTGTAGAGCAAAATAACATGTTTAAAGTAGGAAGTGATATAACCTTTTTTGAAAACCATTTCAAGTAATAAGCTTTTCTCTTCTGGTCCTTATCTGGAGGCCATTATCACTGAATAAACCAGTATCAGCACTCGCCTTGTCAATGGACAAGTGGCTTATGGGGGCACAATTTGGGAGACAGGAATGCAGAACAGAGATCAGAAGGTAACAGATATTCATTTGCTAATTTCTCCAGAAAAATTCCAACTGCTGAGGGGAATTTCTACATAGGAGAGGAATATAAATTGTCAAGCTAAAATTAGCTGGCCTTTAGCTTAAAATTAAATAGTATCAACATGTGTTTGTCTTCTAATGCTGATTACAAAACAGAAAACTGTTATTTTAAAAATAGACAAAGCAAGTTATCAAGTTTTGATAAAAATTCAAATTGAAGACACTTATTTATAAGGGCAAACCTATACTTACAGATGTATCATTCTCAAACATTTTTTATCTTGACTTTCCTGCAGATTTTCACCACTTCCTATGATTTTCTTGCCTGCACATTTCTTACTTAAAATAATTTATAAATACATACATAAAATACTCCAGAAAGAACAAAGAAGTTCAGAGGGCTTCTTTATCCTTTTATGTCAGCAACCAGGACATGAATCTGCACTACTACCTCAACCTACAAACACTTACTCGTGGGAAAATCTTGGATATGTATATCTCTTCCCTTTGCAGACCCCCAGTTAGAACATGCAGTTACTAGAGCAACCAGTACAAGCACCCATATTTAATGAACACAATAGAATTAGATGTATCCATCTGGACAAAAAAAAAATGAGATCATTTTAGGAACCTATACTAAGTAATTTAGTATACATTACTAAATTAGCCTATGAAATGCAATATATGAGGGATATTCAATGGAATTAAGGATAATTAAGCTCACTAAAAGAATCAAGTTTTGAGCTCTGCCAAACCAGCTGTTGGTAAATGATACTTATTACCTACTGACAGGGAGTGGGAGGGAACTAGTAAGAATATTGGTGACACTGGTAACTCACTGATGGCACTTGAAAGGGAGCAGAGGAGAAAAATCTAATCTAATAAGGAATCTGATAACTTGAATATGTTCATGACATTTGCTCACTCTACCTAACTGGGTGATATTAAAGTGAATTATTTACCTCACTAAACTTTTCCCATCTGCAAAACTAGGAGACTAGCTGTTGCATCTCAACGATCTTATTTGGCATAAAACTTTATGGTTTTTACCATTCTTTTCTGATATAAGACCCTACTATCCATGTCAGTTAAAAAGCAGTAGCTAGTAAGCCAAGCTAACAGGACTATCAGGTACAAAGAATTAGAAACTGACTTCTTTATGTGTTCCAATTCATAAATATAATGACGGAAGAAAACATATAGAGATGCAAAATGTTCTAAAGTTATGAATTCTTAAGAATATAATTTCAACTGAAGGACCCAAATCTATGCTATATGTATGAAAATATGATTACTGAAAGAGTAATAATTCTTTCTTTGCAGAATAAGGCCAAAACCACACCATAGGTAGCTGAAAAAGACTTTAATTAATAAATCATATTCTTTTAATATTCTAAGACTAAAATTATATTTCTAAAAGTTAAAATGTTTAAAATACAGTAAAAAGGCCTACCACTTTGTTGACCATCTCCATATCACACAGATTGTCCACTAATATTCGACATGCTTCTTCTTTACCCCAGTGAGCTGCAGCATGGAGAGGTGTCCAGCCATCAAAATCTTTAATATTAACATCATAGCCTGCCTGTATTAAAAGTCTAAAGAAATTATAGTAAGTTAGATAATCATTAAAATCTAGAAATGAACAAATGTAACCAATAGCTTTATACCATGCGAGTTAACAAAAATTTGCAATATAGTTCTCTTTTCATAGTTCAACCCTTACATCAATGAAACAGGGCAAAAGAAATTCTCAGAAAACACTGGCAAAGAGCATCTTGAGTTACTGCCATAATAATGCATTCAGCTTTAATTAATTCCTAGTGATTACAAGTCTTATGGTGTGACACTGATTACTTCTTGTTAATATGACCTATAATTAAAATTTTCAGAGGAAAGCCTGTAATTTTTCAATGTGAGATCATTCATTGCAGGGAAGTCTTCAGGTGTCCATATGAAAAATCATCTCAGGCTAAATATAATCTAAAAAATATACCTGGATCAAGCAAGCTTACTTTGTAGTATTTTTGTTGCCTTACAGTATAGGAATTAGTTTAAGTTTTCACAAATCTTTATGATCTACCGTGGAAGATTTTCATAGGAAAATGACAATCTGACTATTAGGAACAAACAAAACAAAGCAAAATTCCAAGGGGCCCAGTCTACTTTTCTGCAGCAGTAGAAAGCAGATATCCAATCATCAACAAAGCTAGAAACAGGAATACATTTTAATACAATGCAAAGAGTTGCACAAATTATGTTAGTATGCCCTTCTAACTGTACACTGACATCAACCTTTATTTTACTTAGAAATTAAGCTCACAGAGAGCAAAGAATGGGCCCATAAAATGCACATAGCACAGCTCCACACACACAGGCAAAACACTGAATACTTTACAACTCATGAAATCTGGTGACCTTTACCTTACTTTCCAAGATGTTGAACTTGAGAAGGGCTTCTTTTTACCTACAGAAGGTGGTAGTGATAGCTAATACATAACCCTTCCTTTATTTATGTTTTAAGTACTAATTCCCTATTTCCTAACAATATCTAAAGCAGTGGTATCAAATTCTGGCTCCAGAACAGAATCACTTGAAGTGTTTGTTAAAGAACAACAAAAAAGATTCCCTAGCTCCACCTCAGACCTCTTGGATTAAGCAGCATATTAGGATAAGTCCCTGTAAATCTATTTTTTTAATAAGTCCCCCATATGATTCTCATACCATGCTTGTCACCTACCTGCAGACCAACTTTTAAGAGACACCAATCTTTTATTTTATTATTTTTTTATTAGTTACCCTTTTTTATTTAAATTTTTATTGTTTAAGTATTACGTAAGTCTCCTTTTCCTCCCATTGACCTCTACCCGGCCACCCCAACCCTCAGCACATGCCTCATCTTTCCCCCACATCTGTGTTCACTGGATAGGCTCATATGCATGCATACAAATGCTTTGGTGGATCTCTTACCCCCTCACCCCACATCTTCCCTCATAGGTTAGACAGTCTGTTCAATGCTTCTATGACTCTGGTTCTACTGTTGTTCATCGTTTATGTTGTTCATTATATTCTACAAATGAGTGAGATCTTGTGATGTTTATCTTTCTCTGACTGGCTTATTTTGCTTAGCATAATGCTCTCCAGTCCCATCCATGCTGTTGCAAAGAAGAAGAATTCTTTTTTATAGCATTGTAGTATTCCATCGTGAAGATGTACCACAGTTTTCTAATCCACTCATCTGCTGATGGGCACTTCGGCTATTTCCAAATCTTAGCTATTGTAAATTGTGCTGCTATGGACACAGGGTTCATATATCCTTTCTGATTGGTGTTTCTATTTTCTTGGGATATATATTCCTAGAAGTGGGATTACTGCATCAGATGGAAGTCCAATTTTTAATTTTTTGAGGAAATGCCATACTGTTCTCCACAGTGGCTGCACCAGTCTGCATTCCCACTAGCAGGAGACACCAATCTTTTAAAGAACAGGCTAACACATATATATCCAGAGGTTTAAATAAAAAATATGTCCATTAATATATGAATTATCAGAAAATTTATATAATAGAGACAGAAATACTACTGGGATATAAGATAATAAAATATATCCCCCATTAGAAAATATGAATTATAATATTAAATATCCTGAACAATATAAAATTTTAAGTATCTGGGAGCCTGTTTGGAGAGAAAAGAGTCAGGAAGGTAAATACATTCCTCCCCTCTCCACCCCCAAATAGATGGTTCTCTGTATATGCCAGGCCATAAAAGGATACTAAAAAATATAAGACAGTACTTACATTCAAAGAGCTTCTAATGAAGGACAAAAATCTAGTAAGTAATTTAAAACAACAATCAACCCCCACAGACAGGTTCTGTGATGGGGATGCAATGGAATTACAGAACTGAAAAACATCAAAATCAACTGAAAGGGAATTTTGTGTGTTTTTTGGGGAAGGGGTACGTGGGAAGAATAAGCCAGTCAGAGGAAGCCATGTATCACATGATCTCACTCATATGTGGAATCTAAAGAACAAAATTAACTGATGAACAAAACAGATCCAGATACACAGAAGCATGAAACAGACTGTCAAACCTTAGAGGGAAGGCAGGGTGGGTGGGAAGAGATTAACTAAAGAACTTATATGCATAATAGGGGTTCGGTGCATGAATTTGTGCATGGGTGGGGTCTGGTCGGCCTGCCCCAATTGGGGCCAATCAGGCCGGGCCAGCCGGGGCGGGGGCGGGGCTGGGGTGGTTGGCTGGCCAGCCCCGTCCCTGATGGGGTGGGGGTGGGCGACTGGGGACAGGACTGGCTGTGGGGGTGGGGACATGGGCTGTTGGCCGCCTGCCCCGCCCCTGGTCGAACTCCCGGTTGAACTCCTGGTCAAGAGGATAATTTGCATATTAGCCTTTTATTATATAGGATTATTATATAGGATATGCATAACCCATGGACACAGACAATAGTGTGGTGAAAGCCTGGAAGGGAGGGGGCGGGTGTGGGCTAGAAGGGATCAATGGGGGAAAAAAGGGGACATCTTTAATACTTACAACAGTAAAGATAAATTTTTTAAAAAAGGATACATTTGAAAAAGATACTCTATTATTTATTTCACATGTATTTTTATTTATTTTCATAAATAATATATTCACACGCTTCAAAAATGAAAAAGAATAAGTGACTATATAGCAAAGTCATTCTCTTGCTGCTGACCTTTAACCAGTTTCACCTCCCTATAGATAACCATACTATATATTTTGATTGAATGCTTAGGGAAATTTTATGCATATTAAGCAAGTACAACTAAAAGATGTTACAGATTATACACACTTTTCTCCTTGGTTTTGACATTTAAAAATATGCCCTAGCGCTCTTTCCATATTTTTATGTAGTGTTTTTTGTGTTTTTTAATCTTCACCCAAGGAGTGAGGATATTTTTTACATTGATTTTTAGAGAGAGTGGGAGAAAGGGGAAAGGGGAGGGGGAGGGAAAAACATGGATGTGATAGAGACACATTGATTAGTTGCCTCCTGTATGAGTCCCAACTAGGGCTGGGGTTCAAACCTGCAACCCAGGTACCTGCTCCTGACTGGAATTGAACCTGTGATCCTCCAGTGTGCAGGCTGATGCTCTACAGCACTGAGCCACAGGACCAGGGCTATATATAGTGTTTTAATTGCTACAGAGTATTCAAGTGAAAGGATGTATCATATTCATTCAACCGTTCTCCTACACCTATTACAAACAACACTGCTAGCACATACCTTACTTCATATGTGAGTGAGAATATCTGTTAAAAAAAATTCCCAGAGGTAGAACTGATAAGCTAAAGAATAACTGTTACTTTAACAGAATTTGCTCAATTGTCATTTATACTGCCAAATATTTTGATTTTTGTTATATGATAGATAAAAATGGTAATTCATTATAGTTTATCTGCACTTATTATGAATGAGGTTGAACATTTAATTTTTCATAGGCTTAAGAGGCTTGAACTGAGTTAAAACATTGAAAGAAATGTGCCTTCAAGTTGAAGTAATGATGAATAAAGGTTACCTAGACAGAAACAAGAGTAGGTATTAAGACATTATGACAGAATTTCAAGTACATAGATGGAATAATGCATACTTAAAGAGCAATGATAGCAGCTAAATTTAAAAAAGGAGCCAGTGGCCAGATGACAAATGGTCTTATGTGCTAAGTTCAGTAATATAACATATATTCTAATCTCTACTGAGAATCTTAAAGGATTTTAAGAGCCTGGATAACCTAATTACAAAGACTACTTGAGAGTAGTCTAGAATCTATTTTACAGTGTAATCCAGTATATATATACTATTACATGTTTACAGAAAAAAGAGTTTTAACAAATCATATTTACCTTTACCATATGCAATATCCTTTGATATTTCCAATTCTTTCTTTAAAAAAAGCTATTGGCGCCCTAACCAGTTTGGCTCAGTGGATAGAGCGTCGGCCTGCAGACTGAAAGGTCTTGGGTTCGATTCCGGTCAAGGGCTTGTACCTTGGTTGCAGGCACATCCCCAGTGGAAGGTGTGCAGGAGGCAGCTGATCGATGTTTCTCTCTCATCATCGATGTTTCTAACTCTCTATCCCTCTCCTTTCCTCTCTGTAAAAAATCAATAAAGTATATTTAAAAAAAAAAAAAAAAGCTATTGGCGACTCACTAAGTTCATTTCATGACCTGCTAATAGAGTCTGAAAGTTTGAAAAATTTTGGATTAGAGAGAACCAGACAGGGGACAAGGAAACTAATAAGTTAACTGTACTACTCTAGGAGAAGGCTTAAATTATTGAAGTGTAGGGATTGAAAAAAGGAGGAAATCTGGGAATAGTTGACACACACTGCGTCACTTTTTTTACTGAGGAGAGGGAATAAGAACATGACATCAGAAACACAAGAGGAATAAAAGCAATATAAAGGACACAGTATATTTTGCTAGGGCCAGTCTTATTTCCTTTCACATACACATAACAAAAGCTATGCATTAAATTATTTTTTTCACTTAGTTGCCAACACCTTTGTATTGCATAAGTAAAAAACAAATAAAACCCACAAAAATTTGTGATATAAAGAAACTTTGCTCCAAAAAAATTTGCTGATCAAAATATATCCCTATATAGTCTAAGTTGCTTACAGTTTGATATTTAATATTATGCTAATAGCACTTGAGACCCAGAGTACACATAGTAAAAAGAAACTATTTTAGATAAATTACATGTTAATAAATATTCAATAGAAACCAAACTCTTAGAATTTTGAGAATTAAGCTCTCAGAATATATAAACAGAAATATGTTAACATATGACATTGTTCTTAGTCTCAGAAACCAGAGTTTGCCAATCTGAGAACCCCAAAATGACTGTAATAATTTATTAGCCCAGAAGGTAACAGATAATGGTCGTCTGATACTTATTTACTTACTGGAAAATTGCAACTGTGAAATAATAAAAATTTGAGAGTGAAACAACGAGCTTTAGAAAGAAAGCAATAATATTTAAGGTAGTTTTTCCTCTGTAAAGTAATGTTAAATAACTCTTATAAGCTGTTTTGAAATGTTTGCAAGGTATTTTAAGAAAAGGAATACCGAATAGAAGAAAACAAATCAAAGTAAGAAAACAACTGTGAAAAGTAATACTTACTTTAAAACTTCTGTATAGCCTTTAGCTGCTGCAACATGAAGTGCTGTACCTCCAGATTTTGCATGCCGGACATCATTTATATGACCACTATTTAGCCATTGTCTTGCATCTCTTAGCATTATCCGTTCTTCTTCCTTTCGAGCTGCTTCTATATCAACACCTGATAAAATTAAAATTTTTATTTTTCTTCACATAAAATGTTTTTCTATGTTGGAAAATAAAATTTTCTAAAACATTTTAAGTTTAAATAAAAATTAGAAGTGAAATTATATTTTTGAAAAATGGGCTGCTTATAACAAACTGGTTAAATGAAAAATGTGGGAATATTGTGGAAATTTTATTAGACTTCTCTGCTGATTACTTAGTTTTTGTCCCACAATATTATTTTGGCTCTCTTTTTAACTTTTCTGATTTTTCCTTTTGTTTTTAAAATGTGAATATTTACGTAGGTATATCATCTCTTGATAAAAAATTTATTTTTAATCAATCATACATAATTAAGCCTCATATTCCTATATACTGCTTTAACCAGTTTACTAAACACTTCAACTTGGAGGTGCTGTCTTCATCTAAAATTTACCAGACCTTAAAACAGATTATCTAACAAACACCCTTTCCTTTTCCAACATACCTACATTGTCCATACCATTAGTATTAGTTTTATAATTTTAATATGTAGCTATTCATTAATTTAAAAGAATTTACTAAGCACTGTGCTAGGTTAAGATAGTAAGAGTGGGAAGAACTCAAAAGGAACAGGATACTCTATTCTTACCTTCAAAGAGATCAGTATCCTGAGAAAAAAAGTAAAATAGAAAAGATAATCCTGAAATTTACGAATGAGCTCATGTCTTATAGCTTCATCTGCAGGCTATTTAACAATACATTAACAATCTTACTAGAGAAAAATATTAAAGTTAAAGATAGTGCTTTTTTATCTTTATCCCCACTGTGTGGATGAGGTGGATGAGTGCCTGATACAAAGTAAAAAGGATCAATAAGTAAATGTTTACTAAATGAATAGAGTAAATAAATAAGTACAAAATCACACACAACACACACATACATCCCCTCAGTTAAGATATCTCCTACAAATCAACATATATGTATCCAACTATCCAGGATTTTTCATCCATCCATCCATTCAATATGTACTGAGTGTCTACTATATGTTGGCTACTTTATAAGTTCCTATGGGTATAGAAGTGAATTTATGTGGTAGAAGATGATACATCTGTGAAGAAAAATAAAGCAGAATAGAAGGACAGAGGGTAAATAGAAAGAGGTGTTATCTCATATGAGTTGGTAAAGAACAGTCTCTTTGATAAGGTGGTATTTGGAGCAAGAAAAGAAGTGAGTGACAGCTAATCTACAACATGGGAGAACATTTCAAGCAGAGGGAAGTAGTAATAGGCTCTGAGACAGAAACTTACTAAGAATGATCTTTTGATTAGAAAAATCAGGGTATCTACAATGAGCAGGGTGATACAATATAAAACTTAAGAGGACCATTTAAACTAGAAAGTTAAGAGTAGAAAATGAAGTATTAATTAGAAAATTACTGCAATAATCCAGGGAAAAGGTTATAGTTACTAAAACCGGGGTGGTAGCAGTGAAGTTAGTAAAGAGGTTAGATTTTGGGTTCTTCAATAAAACTGATAAAATTTGTTGTTAGTTTGGATGTAGGAGAAAAAGAGAAGTCAAGAATAAAGCAAAGGTTTTTAGCCTGAGCAATTTGAAAAACTAAGTTTTTTTTAAAATATATTTTTATTGATTTTTTACAGAGAGGAAGGGAGAGAGATAGAGTCAGAAACATCGATGAGAGAGAAACACCGATCAGCCGCCCCCTGCACGCCCCCCACTGGGGATGTGCCCGCAACCCAGGCACATGCCCCTGACCGGAATCGAACCCGGAACCCTTCAGTCCGCAGGCCGACGCTCTATCCACTGAGCCAAACCGGTTTTGGCAAAAACTAAGTTTTTAATATGAACAATTTAAAGTTTGAGATGTCCCAATAGACATTTAATTGGAGATATCAAGTAGTCAGGTGGATATCTGAGTATGGAGAACAGAAAAGAGGTCAAGATGAGGCAAATGATTTAATCTATATAAAACGCCAGCGACCATAACACCGTAACGACCAGAACGACCAGTTGCTATTACGCCCACTGAGGCCAACGAACCGACCAGAGCGGGGCTGGGGCTGGCCGGCCAATCTCCTGGGGCCCCTCCCTCAAGCCGCCCTGCCCGATTGGCCTCTCCCTGACTGAGGGCAGGGTGGCCAGCCACCACCCCGTGGCCTTTCCCCCAGCCAGCCCCACCCCACCCTGATCGGTCCCCAAACTCTCCCCCCGGCCTGCCCCACCCCTGATCACCCCCCCTACCCCAATAGGGGGTGGGGCTGGCTGGCCAACCTCCTATAGCCCTCCCCCTGGCTGGCTCCACCCCAGATGGGCCACCACCACTCTGATCAGGGGCAGGGCTGGTGGGTGAACGACCTGCGGACCCTCCCCCCAGCCAGCTCCGCGCTCAATCGACCCCCCTCCACTCCGATCAGGCCAGCCAACCACCCATGACTCCTCTTCCAGGCTGCTGACCCCTAATTGCCCCCCCATTGGGGGGTGGGGCTGGCTGGCCCACTGCCCCTCTCAACCACAGCCATGCCCTGATCAGCCTCCACCACCCCGACTGGCCCACGGCCCCTCCCCCCAGCCAGCGTGGCCCTTACCGGGCCCTGATCAGGGTGGGCTGGCTGGCCAACGTCCCACCATCTCCTCCTCCTGACAGGCCCAGCCCCAATCGGACCCCACCTGTGCACGAATTCATGCACTGGGCCTCTAGTATAAAATAATATGCCATGGGTACCTCAACTCAATGCTAAAATCTTAACTCAATTTCCCCACGCCAAGCTTCTTGCTGTCTCTCTCTCTCTGTCTCTCTCTCTTTTATGCTTTTATTGATTTGGGAGAGAGAGAGGATGGGAGAGGACTAGAGATAGAAACATCTGTCAGCTGCCTCTTGCATACCCCCTATTGAGGATCCAAATCCACAACCCGGGCATGACTAGGACTCGAACCAGTGAATTCTTGGTTCATGGATCAACGCTCAATCACTGAGTCACACTGGCCATGGCCTGCTGTTTGTCTTGTATTTACTATGCTAGGTAACAATATTTGCCCAGCAACTTGGAAGACATCCTTAATCCATCCTTTTAATAAGCAGATTTTGAGATGCCATCCCTTTTTTATGGCCCCCTATCACCATTCTTAGCTCATATCTTATGTCTCATACTTTGACTACTAATACTGGCTTTTAACTCATTCAGCCTCAGTCCCTTCCGATTCATTCCCCACACCAATGTCACAATAGTTTTGCTGTACCAAAATATAATTATTTTGTCTCATTTTCTATATAAGTTGCTCACCTCCTATAAGACAAAGCTAAAGTTCTTTGTAGCATACAAAGCCTCTTATAGCCTGGTCTCAATGCTTTCTTAGTCTCTAGTCTTTCTCTTCTATCATCACACAGTGTTGTAACCATCTAGATCTCTTCCTGGGTCCCTGGGTGCATTATGCTTGTGTGCTGTTGTACAAGCTTTATCCTCTACCTGGATTGTGTCCTTCTCTCACCTGCTTAACAAATTACCATTTATCCAAGACATAGCTAAACTCTTAAAAAATAAACCATAATTGAAAAAAAATATTTTTAAATCCCAAGATTACACAAGTACAGGCAAAGTCATCTTCAAACTAAAGATTGTAGTATCTCATTACCACATTTGAAAGAAACTTGCAATAAGAGTTTCCAAATAGATTTTATAAAAACAATCAATCGTTTTTATATATGTGTAAAGAACAAAGCCTATTATAATCTTTATTTTAAAAGTATCACCATTTCCATAATAAAGTAATTTTATGTAGTAAAAATTTCCTACCAAAAGATAATCAGCCCATCTTATTTAAGATGTCTTCTAATGTTTACTCAGAAAAAAATTATAATGCTGCATTAAAACACATTAAGGATAACTTTTACTAAATGATTTTTCTCAGACTGATTTTTTCTTATGCTTTATTCTTTTACTATATATTTTAAAACAGGAACCTCTTTATTATCTTTATACCTTTTTTGCCTTTACCATATCAAACATTCTGAGTTTTACGTCCTTTACTATTCAAAATTTCTTCTGAAAAACAAACAAAAAACACCTACTTATGTCTAGATTTATCTAATTTCACCTTGTTTACCTAATTACAAAAAATAACTTTTTTGCTTCCAAATAGTGCTTTTATATGAATTATATAAAAACAAAACAACTCGAGTTTAAAACTCAAGTATATGTAAAGGGAAAGTTCTTATGCTTAAGAAACTCCACAAACTATGGGGAGAACCAAGATGGCGGCATAGGTTAACGCCGGAGTTTGCTGCTTTGAACAACTACTTCAAAAGTGAAACCAGAAAACGGAAGGGACATCACCCAGAACCACAGGAACGCTGGCTGAGTGGAAGTCCTACAACTAGGAGGAAAGAGAAACGCATACAGACACTCAGAGGAGGCGCAGTGCTGAAGTCAAATTCTGAGGTGCGGAGTGCGCAGAGCGGGCTGGCGGCGGAGGGCGCGGTTGGCGTTTTCAATCGGGAGGGAGTCGCAGACTCTGAGCTCCAGATACGGCCGAGTCTTTAGGGACCCAGACTCAAACGGGAGCAGCGGGACTGTCTGGCTTCGGTCAGAGCGAGTGCAGCTTTCTCTCCGAGCTTTGCAGCGGGTGCTGGGACTCAGAGAGGCAGAGCCCCTGGGGACAGGACTGAGAGCCGCCATAACTGCTCTCTCCGGCCCACCCTGTTGATCCTGTGCGACCCGCCCCGCCCAAGCCCTGCACAGAGGCTTTTGCCAGATAGCCTCAGGCAAAGGCTAGATTAGCACCTCCCTAGAGGACAGAAGTTCTCTCACTGCTGACACAGCTGATTCTCATAGCCACTTGGCCTGGAGGTCAAACCCTCCCTGGAATTAGCTACAACAATCAAGATTTAACTATAAGACTTCGAACAAAGACCACTAGGGGGTGCACCAAGAAAGCATAACAAAATGCGGAGACAAAGAAACAGGACAAAATTGTCAATGGAAGATATAGAGTTCAGAACCACACTTTTAAGGTCTCTCA